ATGATCTTTGTTGTCGTCTGCAATGCCACTTCCCCAATACAACACAGGGTGATGTGCTTGACTATGGCCTCTTCCTTATTGATCAGTTACTCCGCATGCAAGGCTCCAGCTTAACTGATGAAAAGTACAATGGTGAGTTTCCTCCTTTCCAAACAGACTGGGAGCAGTGTCTTGCACCTCATCAAAATTGTCTCATTGCAGAACAACTGGACTATGATCAAGTGGAGATGGCAGAAATGGCAGTGACAATGAAGGACCAGATGAATGCAGAACAGAGTGCCACTTTTGAAGAGATCACCCAACATGCAGGTGATGGACAGACCTTCTGGCTTCAAGGCCCTGGGGGGACAGGGAAGACATTTGTCTACAAGGCACTCTGTGCAGAGCTGTGCTCACAGGGAAAGATTGTTCTCTGTGTAGCCTCCTCAGGTATTGCAGCTTTGCTCCTCCCAGGTGGCCACATGGCACACTCAACCTTCAAGATACCAATCCCAGTGCATGATACCTCAACATGTAACACACCAAAGAATGGGCTATGGGCAGCGATGCTGAAGGGGGTAACACTCACAATCTGGGATGAAGCCACAGCACAGCATTGCCACTGCATAGAGGCTGTGGATTGAAGTCTACGTGACATCCAAGATCAGCCAACCCTTCCATTTGGTGGCATGTCAGTGGTGTTTGGTGGTGACTGGCAACAGACACTACCTGTGGTGCTACATGGGGAGCAGGAAGACATTGTAGGGGCCTGTATGCAACACTCTCATCTGTGGCAGAGCATCAAGATCCTTTGCCTTTCTCAGTGCTCAGGATCCAACAAGTGCTGCATTTGCAAGCTGGCTTCTTGAAGTAGGAAGTGGACATGCCTCCCATGCCAATGGAATGCTCAACCTTTGGGATGGAATCGAATGCAAGACTTCAGTGGACAGCCTGATCACATCACTATATCAAGACATCAAGAGCCATGAGCTTGGAGGACCAAATGGAGATGACTACTTCCTCAATCAAATGATTCTACAACACAGATGTTGATGATCTCAATGCAGAAGTACTTGCATGCCATCCTGGAGAAGTCATCACCTTCCTCTCAGCAGATTCAGTTGTTCAGGAGCCAGGCATCAATGCACAGATGGAAATTCCAACTGAGTATCTTAATGCACTCAAAGTGCCTGGACTTCCCCTCAGCAAGTTGGAAATCAAGCCTGGGTGTCCACTTATGCTACTGTGGAATCTTGCACCAGCACAAGGCCTTTGTAATGGGACATGATGTTGACTCATTTGTTCAACAAATCGAGTTTTAGAAGTCTGACTCCTTGGAGGTGAACATCATGGTACAACAGCATTCATTCCACATATCTTACTCACACCATCTGAGGACAATCTCAGCTTTGTCCTGAAGCACTGTCAGTTTCCTGTTTGACTTGCATTTGCAATGACAATCAACAAGGCTCAAGGACAGTCAGTCACAAATGTTGGTTTGGACTTATGCATTCCTGTTTTCTCACATGGCCAATTATATGTCACACTTTCACATTGTACATTGCCTTCTGCAATTGGAATACTCTTACTGCCTCAAGCACCAACTGTAGAGATGCATAGAGTCACTCAAAATGTTGTATATCCTGAAGTTCTTTCCAATATTTCTTAGCTACCTGCTTTTCTATTTTTCTTTCTCCTGCAATTTCCTATTATGATTGAAATGTACATAGATACAACAAATGTACCAAAAAAAATCCCAAGGCAATACATAGGGTCTTTCACATAACTACACTGAGCGAAGTGAGTCAGGTTAACCTAGTATGCTTTATAAACTGACATGAAGAGACCGGACCCTAGCACATCTTGAACTGCTACCACCACCTTCCTTAATTGGAAGGTCCGTGGTTGCTTAGGGCAGGTCTTGGGGTCATTTCAGGGATTTGCACCCGACGGGTCACGGTAGGCAAAATGCGCCCGAAAGGGGTCATCGGAGGAATTACCTCCTGTGCTCATCTCCTTAAATCTACCGAAGCCTTTGGAAAGCTTTGACATGCCCATGTGCTGAAGGTTTGCCCGTCTTGTACGAATGTCCTAATGGCAATACTTTCCTTCCTTCGACCGCCTCAAGCTATGCTCACGGGCCTGTCACGATGAGTATCCATAAATGTTATTGACAATGCCCATGAATGAAGATGCCGCTCGTCAGTGCCAATCCCGCAACTAATATCAGAACGGACCCACGTGTGCCGACTCGGATATGGTCGCACTGACGGAAAGAGTACTGTTGGTATTCAAGAGAACCGCTCAGAATGAGCCACTTGAAATAAAGTCGACTGGACCCTGTTACTGTACGTGTGTTGTACATACGGCATCCCCAGATTGCCAATTGGACCGATACTAGAATAGGGCAGAGTTGAGAACGTCACCGGCGGTAGTGAGGCGCCGGGCATGCGAATCAGTACTGAGCACGCAACCCTGCTACAACAGGGAACACAGACCAGTTTTCCTGAAGCAAGAATATAACACAAGAAGGGTGAAGGGAAATCGCAGATCCACAAGGTGACGCGTAGAGCAGTGTGGCGTGATAATCGTGCACTTCAGAAGACTGCGAACCATCTGGGGCGCGGCATCCAAGATGCAAATCTTCGCATCACCTCAAGCGATGCGTAATCGTTCATCTGAGAAATTTTCTCCACTGTGTAGTCATCAGTTGCCATTAAAGGTGAGTCGTCCGATGATGAGTTCCATGTTACCGGGAGTCGTTGAAAAAAGACGCATAGAAGCATTCTAACGCTGGTGCCTGGAAGCCCGCAGTTTACAATCTTCCACAGTGCCTTCGTCTGAAGCAGGGAATAAGAAGGCTTGTTCTGTCAGTTTATAGACAAGCCAGAGAATGGCACGACTTGCTGTGGCCAGGCATATGGTAAGCTCGCCGCCTAATCCGGTCGAGTTGCCTTTTTCCAGCTGAAGAGCATCACAGAACCGGTGAGTAGGAAATTTCTGAGACCGTGTCGAATCGACTACGAAAATCCATGTTGCATATGTCCGCGGATGACAGAGTCGTAAGTTCTTCTCATCCACGATGGCTATTCGGCACTGAGTCCCCAGGTCGCCGGGTCTGAGAGAATGAGGAAACCGAGCAATCTCTATATCAACAATGTTGCCGAATTCGTGAGACGTGGAAAGCATAAAGATGCCATAACATCCATAACGGACGGACAAGAAGCCCGTATGAGTCAGGAAGCAAGGCAGCATATTGTCGGGCTCACGAAGAATCAGCAGAGCTGCCAACGGTGGGAAGAGCCGCAGCCCCAGGTTCAAAGGCTAAAGGGGACCAAATTACATACACAGAAGCATGAGCAGAAAATAAGTTGTGGGTTGGCTAGCTGTCTGTAGGGCCAATCATCGAGATTGAAAGTTAGATGTTATGAAGATGCGGGGTTTTGTAGCCTTGGCGCTAACAGAAGCTGTATTTGATTCCGATGTCGCCGCACAACCTCGAACGGGGTAAGTGTTGAGTTAATCCGACCACATCCCCTCGAGCTCTCTATCGGCGTTGTCCCGCGTTCCCATTCAAATGACGAATGGACAAGTAGAAGTACGTCGGCAGCGCCGATGCTAGCCGCGGTGAATCTAGACGACGGCTACACGTTGGTGCCTGCCCTGCGAGCCATCTCAGACCGGCAGCACGCGTCCTCAAAGTGAGATGTCTCCATCCGATGGGCGCTCACCCCTCAGGCGACCAGTCCACTATGACGGAGCATGATCTGCCTGTTTGTTTACTTTCTGAAACCCCGTGCTCGATAGCAGCGTGTCGCACTCTAACAAATATGTGGCGACGCTCCTCCAATCGTCCCGGTGGCCTTTCCTCCTCCCTCCTCCTACCCGCACGCGCTTGCTCGCAGTTCAGCTTCCCAACTGCTGTCACTCGCTTTTCCATCGGCTTTCCCATCCACAGGCCCGACATTGCGCGTTTGAACATCTACACTATTCACTTTATAATCGACATACAGCACTTTCCTTAATCATGCCTGCGGAGAAAGGTCACTCCGAGCTGAAGAGGCGGGGAACGCGTCGAGAGGATGACCCAAAGTTGATTGGGTGCTGGAGAACGGGAAAGACAATTGGGAAAGGAAGTTCGGGTGCGTGTCTTTGGCCTCGTAGCAGTAAAACTGTCCTCACGGCTTCATGACATGTTAGGTCGCGTCAAGATTGCCAGACACGTCCGAACGGGCCAGTACGCTGCGGTGAAGATCGTGTCGAAGCACGCTCTTATGAGTTCCCGGTTATCCATGTCTGCAGCAGGAGAACAGGCAGATAAGATCTTGCTGGCTATCGAGCGCGAAATTGTCATCATGAAGCTCGTGGATCATCCCCACGTTCTGAGTCTTTACGACGTCTGGGAGACGAGTGACGAGCTGTGAGCCGCTCACTTCATAAGAGAGAGAATCCATACTGACCAGGTGGTTCAGATATCTAATCATGGAATATGTTGAAGGTGGTGAACTCTTCGATTATCTGGTTTCTCGCGGCCGTCTATCATTACCCGAAGCGCTTCACTACTTCCAACAAATTATCTCTGCAGTTGACTATTGCCATCGCTTCAACATCGCTCACCGTGACCTCAAGCCAGAGAACTTGCTCCTTGATCGGTCGCGGAAGAACATTAAGGTTGCAGACTTTGGTATGGCAGCGTGGGAGGGAGGGAGTGCATCTGGCGGCATGCTCGAGACGAGCTGCGGGAGTCCCCACTACGCCAGTCCTGAGATCGTGCAAGGAAAGAAGTACTCCGGTGCATGTAGCGACATCTGGAGCTGTGGTGTTATCCTATATGCGCTCTGTACTGGTCGCCTTCCCTTCGACCACCCCGACATTCGTACACTCCTGCAGATGGTCAAGAAAGGAGAATATGTCATGCCACCCGACTTGCCGAGTTCCTGCAAACACTTAATTTCCCGCATGTTGGAGAAGGACGTAAACAAGCGTATCACGGTATGTCCCGCCCTATCCCGCCCTATATGCTGTTCTCCACACCACACTTACTCCCCCCCAAAGATGCCTGAAATCCTTCAGCACCCTTTCTTCCTGTCCCGCGCACCTCGTCCGGTTGCTGGACGTGTGGTATCCCCGCCGACTTTGGAAGAGGTTGCACGGCCTGTGGCCTCAGCAGATGATATCGATGCTGATATATTTGCCAATCTCCGTACTCTGTGGCACGGAGCGCCCGATGACGAGATTATGGAAGGCCTCCTCAACAATAAGTCAGTATATTTATATCCCGTACCATCTATGTCTGACGTGTTTGTCAGGAAAACATGGGAAAAGGCTGTTTATCATCTCCTGCTCCAGTATCGTGCACGGCATCTGGAGAACTACAATATGGAGGACGATGATGCCGTGCCTCATCCGAAGAGGCATCGACCAGCGCCAGCGCCTCCAGCAGTTCCACCCAAGATCGAAGAGATCCGAAATCAGACCCCTCATGCAACACCTCCAGCTCGCCCCTCGGCACCCACGCCAAAGCGTGCGGCTGGTGGCGACAGTCTGAACGGAACTCTAAGCAGACCGCCTGTTCTCCGTGGAGTGAGCGAGCCTGGCAATGACAGCGGTGTGCGTCTGGTATCACCCGTGGCACAGTCCTCCCCTCGAACTTTCGGACGTGGCTCTCGCCCACTCCCGTCTCCCCAGGTGGAGTCCGGTGGGACGTCTTCTAAGACCTCAGCCCCAGTTTCAGCACCACCGCAACAGGTGCTTCGCGTAGACAAGCCCCTCCTCGCCCCGCCGGCACCCATTCCGGATCGCACGGCATCATCCGCTCCACCATCACCAGGTGTTCCTTCTATTAGCCTGCAGACGCCTACTCCTCAGCGTACTCCAGAGCGACGCGCCCATGCGACAGCGGTTCCACGTGCATCAAGTCCAGCTTCGCTACCTCCCACGCCTGCTCTGTCCGCAGGCTCGCCTTCCACAACTGCTAGCAGTGTCATGTCACCGAAACTACCGATTTATGTTCCACAGACCAATGATCCAGCCGTTCAACAATTCTTTAACGACATTGTGGAACACCTAAATAAGATCGAAGCGCGACAGTCTTTGTTCGTCGCGCCAGGACAGCCTTCTCCGACTCCTTCGACAGCTTCTAATGCCAACTTTCCACCGTTCACACTTTCGCATCCTCCGCCTCCAACCCCATCTAGTGCAACATTCAGCCTCTCAGATCCCAATCAATTTGAGGATGCAAGAGAAGAAGCATCACCGCCCGACGTCAATGTACAGGTTGGCTTGGGGATTTCCGGCAACGGCGGGTCCTCCCGTGCAGGACCACAGCATACTTCTGTCGGAGTTCGTGCAAACTTGCTTCCCCCTGCTCCTCAACTTCCTAATCCCCCTGTCCATCGCGGCTCTGCACTACCACCTCGTCCTCGTCGTCCCGCTCCCACACCGACTCGCACGCGAGCATACTCGGTCGATTCTCCGAAGAAAGAGAATAAAGAGAATGTTACTCCTCGGCGGTCCATGGACGGCACGCGGTCCGCAATGGATGCTGGCGACCTGGGCAGAGAGGCTTTCGTGGTTGTAGACAGGACCGAGGCAATGGAGGCAAACACATGGAGTGGAAGACGCAACGCTCTGGCAGAACGTCATGTGCAGATTGTCCTTCCGAACATGCCCGACCGCACGTTGAAGAAGAAGAAGAGCATCATTTCTAAGGCATCATCCATATGTGAGTTGCAAAACAATTCCACTCTTGATGAAGCGTTGTCTGACCACACTGTAGTGTCCACGAGCAGCAGCGATGATATTCCGATGGTACCGCCTAATTCGTACAGCCAAAGTAACGTACCAAAGCGTACCTGGTTTAACAATCTCTTCAACTTCAAGCCGCCGCAGTACGAGCTGCTATCTAGATACAATATGGCTGTCAGCCGTGAAGAGTGTCGGAAGATGTTACAGAACCTCGGAGTCACGGTGCTTCTGCAGAACGCTGACGGACCGGGTGTGCTGAAGTGCAAACTGGACGAGATACGCGGTGAGCCTGATGTCCACAACTGGGGCTGGTCACTGATGGCCATGTTAAGATCCTGCTGGCGTTATGGCTGTTATGAAAGCCGTTCGTTTCCGTGTGGAGCTTCACCTCACTACCAGCGTGCAGAATGCCGCCGGATACACAACAGTTATGACGCTCATCCAAGAGAGGGGGGCACTATCGACATTGAAGGTTATCCATGCTCGTCTAAGGCAGGAATGGGATGCCACGTTGGAGTCCCCGAGACCCTCGGATTACTTACGGTCAGGATAACCCAGTCGGTTTGTTTTGGACGCTGCAAAGTGAAACCTTTCGGATGGTTACGACCTGTATTATGCATTTCAGCTTCACCTTGGCCTCAATTGTAACAACAGTAAACACTCCATCCCCCAATTATGACTGTATCTATTTACAAGCCGCCCCTGTACATAGCTCATGTATTGACAGCCAAGGCAATTCATCACGCAATTACAGTAGATCATGAAGGTCTGCCGCTAGCTCCTCCTCCACCACGTTTTCATCCATGCCGTCATGTCCCAACGCTGAGTCTACGGCATGTTGCCCTAGGTCCAACGACAAACCGGCGGCAGCAGCAGCATGCAACAGAGCTTTCTCATTACCCTCCCGAACTAACACAACTTCATGCGGGTTTTCACTTGTGACACGGATCCACCGCAAAAGAGTAAGAAAGCCGGGGTCATCGGCGTTCCATTTCCTAAATAGCGCGACCGTTGCTAGATGGGTGAGGTCGGGAATGTCTACAAGATGATCAAGTTGATTCGGTACGGAGGGGGCGGCTACACTCACCGATCCCTGTTCGGTACTCCTCCGTATTTTGTCTCTTCATTTCTAGTAGCTTGTCCTCCTTTGTGCTTCTCGGTCTACCACTTCTCCTCGCCGCCTGCTCCGCCTCAATAAGATGATCAAAACGCGCAAGCCACACGTCGCGTAGGATATCGTGCACATCGCTCAGAGTGAGCGCAATTGCATCTTCAGGCAAAGCATGCAAGAAGAACACATTCCGGTCCACTATAACGTTGGGTGAACTAATAATAATGACCAGATAGTAATGGACGAACCTTCTGCGAGCGACTTCCGCGACTTGGTCACAGAAGCCTTCTCGAGCTTCTGCTTCCTTAGCAACTTGCGCTCGAGTTGTCCAGCTTTGCGGGATTCAGGATGGAACACCTTCTCTTTCGGCCCTTTCTTGCTGGATGAAGATCTGGCAGGTTTGGTCTTTGTTGGTGGCATCGTGGTGGGAGGAAAGCAGTTCAGGTTGCAAGGGTCCTGGGAATCCAATATTTTTTGACCCTGACCAAATCGGCGCTAAGCAAATATTGTGGACGGACATGACGTCGTTGTCTACAGTATATTGGCGATAACAACATGTATGGATACAACAATGGGTGAAACAAATATACATGTACGAGAAAAGGGGTCTGCGAATAAGAGTCTGGGTATCGCCTTCCTCCGTCCTAAAAACTAGGTCCTTCTCATCTGGTAAAGTTTCTCCTCAAGCCAGTGGCACGCGACATCGTGCTGGGTACCTTCACCGCCGGTGCAGGTAATTCTTCGAATGCAGAACTGCGCAGCCGGAACGTCGCTCGCCGCTTGAGTTCTTGGCGGGCCTGGACAAGTTGTGCCTGCTTTGTCTTCAGAGTACTAAGCAGGCGAATGAGAACTTGGCTAAGCTGGTCATCGAATGGCTCGTCCCATTCGGTCGCAACATCTGGCGATATGAGCGTGTTGATGAGGGTCTTCAATTCCTGGTATATTGGTGTTACATCGTCCCTGAAAATCGAGTCAGACTTTCAACAACCACAATGTAATGTTCGTACGCTAGGTCCATTCCCCGATCGTCGAAAGAACAATCCAAGGCCTTCCAGGCCTCTTCAAGTTGCTGTAGACTGGCCCGAATGTCATCGTCCGGAATCTCCTTCATGCTCCAAACATCTACGGCCTCTTTCAACTTCCCCACTGACTTCACGAACGTTTCTAGGCATCGGTTAATGCTCCGGGACTGGAAAGTGGGTAAGAGCGATGTCCTCGTTGTGCGCAGCGCTCTCACTTTCGTCGCCTCTGACTGTTTCGGTGTTTCAGACGCCACACCGTAAGATTCCTTCACTCTATTGAGTTCGGAGAGAAAGCGCTGATTGAGAGGGTCCAGTGAAGCCTTGTCCTGTTGAAAGCGGGACGGAGAAGGGTCGTGTGACAACACCTGCTCAAGCACTGGTCGAATTTCGGAAGGTAGGCTCTGCAGAACACTAGAAGTGATTACCATATGAGAACCGATAACAGCATTTACCACGAGTATACTGTACTCACGTTACATCGGCCCCAGCTGCTGCAAAGACGGATAGCGAGGCATTGCATTCGTTTGAGAACCTCGCGAAAGTAGCGCTGACTTGCCAGACTGCTTTCTTGTTGACATTCCATAATTCCAACACCTGCATCAGCTGTTCTCCAGATGCCAGAAGATGTGCCACATGCTCGTCTACGGAGGCTGGAGATGGTATCTGGGAGCTGTCAGAGGGAAATCGACTAAGAGTCTGGAATGTTCACTCACCTCTGAAGGTACTGGTGGGTATGACGCGCGAGGCCGACTGGGTCTTCGATCTCGACCTTCAACCGCAGTCAAGGTCGAGGACGATCTTGTAGTATACGAGGACACGCTACGGCTGAGCATGTCGATGGGGTATCCAATTCCAGTGTGAGTGTGCGGGATGAAGGGTATATATATGCGCGTCTCCAGCTTAGTGTCCCACTCCGTCGGTGCAGAGCGGTGTATACTCCTCGGTGCCCAGTTGCTACAGAACCCTAACATATTAATATCCCCGCACACGCGGACCCAAATGGGGGCATTTTAGCAGGGCTTTCCTAACCAGAGGTTCGTTGCTGAGGCGTGCAAGCACACAAGGCCAAAGCCTGTTAGTGGTTCAGTTTGTTCTCGTCACCTCCCTGTCTTTCTCCCTCTGCTCATCACAGTGCATGTATCATGTCGGCAGCGAGGGTGCAGTCGACTGCTTCATCTACATCGGAGAGGGGTCCAGCATATTCGTATTATGCCGGTTCGTCTAGGGGTGAACGACCCCCTGAGTCGTCTTCTTCCGGCTCCCAGTCTCGAAAGGAAGGGAGAAACAGATCTGGATCATCAGTACGCCAACATGTTGTCTTTTTCATAATTCTACTGACCTATCAGCAGTCGAACAATGGCGTGGAGACGACCGTGACGCGTCTTTTAGTCGCTATCAAGCAATTGCTAGAGTCGTTGACATTATGGAGTCAAATGAGGGCGACGGAGAATCAAGTCAGTGATGTCTACGTTCGATTAGGTAATGATTTCAATGCTGCGGTCGCTGCATTCGCGTCCTGTGGGATCGACATGACGTGCGTATCTACTTTTCATATCTCCCCATATTTTGACGAATACACCAGTGAACTGCTGTCGGTTCCCCAAGATCTTCGGGATGTGCTGGAGCTTTGTCTTGCAGAAGAAGCCACCACTGCGTCTTTGGAGCGATACCTGCCGACTGTTCGCACCATAATCACAAACCTCCTCAATGGGTTGCGGACGAAGCAGTCGGAATATCGACGTTTGCAGGCCACGCGTCCCTCTCGCATGTCTGGCGGCGGTGGATCGCGCTTCTCCCGAGCAGCTACCGATGCGGGTTCGCGTGATGAAAGTACAGCCAATGCAACACCATCTCCTTCGAGGTCCAGAGACCACAGGTCTGCTCCCACACCGACAAGTGGTCGCACAAGCTCGGCTTCTGCGTATCGCCGCCCTGCGACACAGTCGATCGATGAAAACAGGGCTGTTCCCAACGTGGTTGAAAGCAACTCCCAGACCCCTGTACCGAGTCAACCTGCCGAAAAACCTGCTGGCGCTTCTGTGTCCCAGCGGCGACGGGAAGAACAAACTAGCTCAATCTCCAGCGCACTTTCGGAGAATGAAACACCGTCTCGGCCTGGATCTCGGTCATCAACCAGAACACCGAGCCGGACTGGCCATTCCACTCCTCTTCCAACAGGAAGTGACTCTCCCTTGCAAGAAGGCAAGAGGGAACTACCCAGGCGAGGGCCGTCACTCACCGCCCGCAGTATTCCGTCAATACCGGAGGAACCGTCGAGTCCGGTAAAGCGTAGCCTGGCAGTTCCAGTCGTCCCTCCCGACGTGAGGCGGTTCTCTCTGACGGACAAACCTATGACACCGCCGAATGATTTGTCGTTTCCGGTGTTCGAAAGCCAACCCGAGCTACCAGAAGCTGAGGAGACTCGAACCCCCCCACGCCTCGCGGTATCTTCTGAACCATCTCCTCCCCCTTACATCCCGTCCACGCTGCCGGCCCCAGATGTTGTCGTCTCTGAGGCGTCGCCTTCAATGGCGGCCGACTTCTCTGCAGACGTGTTAAGACAATTTGATACCGAGCCCAGTTTATACTCACCGCCATTCGCAAGCCCGGCAAGGAAAGCAAGTGGAGATGTGCAGTCCTTCGCACCTACAGGTCTCGACGAGCGAGACACTACTTTAGGACCCCAGAACTCTTCGTTTGTTGCTTTGCAAAAAAGTGACATGCTTGAGAGACGCGCATCAAGACGGTTTTCTACTTTCAACTTCATGCGAATGGGTGCCTCGGGCCCATCGACGCGTGAGAAGCAAACCGCCGCGATGGCCCAGAACCGGCGATCTTTCGTTCCTCCGGACCTCGGTGCCCTTACAGAAGGCGAAGAGGCCACTGGGAAGGGGAAAGGAGTCGACCGATCTGAAAGCCGGACGCGGACACCAGAAACGCCAACGCGGAACAGCCCAAGCCCCTCAAAGAACGAAAATGTGCCACCCCTCCCCCCTCTGCCAGCCTTCATCAGTGCCTCTAAGTCCTCAAATGGACTATACAAGTCTGAAAGTGCGGGAAGCGACTTGTCAAGCTATAGCTCGCCGCCCAACTTGAACGCGGTCCAGGCAGCTGCCGATTCCTCCATGATTGTCACATCTACACCTGTCGCACAGAGGACGATGGAATCTTCTACTCCACGAAACTCAGGTTCAGGGACCTTGACAGTGTTCCTGACCCTGGGTATGCACACCAAGAAGGTGGAGATGGAACCGACGATCTCGTTTGCAGGTCTAAGGATTCTGTTTATGGACAAATTTTCGTATAATCCAGGTCTAGATAACTTCCCTGCGATTTACATCGAGGATCCCAAGACACGTATTCGGTACGAGTTGGAAAACTTGGATGACATGCAGAATGGCAGCCGTTTGCTGTTAAATGTGGAACGTGAGAGTTGTCCATTTCTTTATTTTCACCCGACTCACTACGCTCTAGCCTTGGATCAGGTCAAACAGCACATTGACCTTCAAATCTCCGCTGTCTCGCAAGATATTCGTGAATTGAAGCAGGCCATGAGTGCATCACGAAGGATGTCTGTTGGACCACCATTCATCTCCCCAACAATAACCGCTCCTGCGGCACCTCGTCCATCTGATGTGCAGTTCCAAGCTGCAGCCTCGAAGCTGTCGAAGATGAAGATGAGCACTTCCGCTCGGCCCCCGCCTCTCGAACCGATCCAACCGCAAATGACTGGTGCTTCTGAAGTGACATCCGGCCGCATCGTCCACGACTTGCAAACACAATTCGATGAAGTCCAGAACATACGTCGAGATCTTGGTGTCATGCGCCAGCTATATGTTGACTTCATCAACCAAACCAAGGATGCGTTGGGAGGACTGAGAATGCAGACGAATGCAGTCCGAGAATTGGCTGACACAAAGGTCGGTGGAACGAGAGCATACATCAATGCTGGCAAGGAAAAACTGGACACTCGCAGTCAAGATGCCCTGACCAAGATCGAAGAATTGACTGACTCCGTTGAGAACCTCAAGTCTGACGTCGTTAAGCGGCAGATCCTTCCCAAGCCGGCTGTGATGAAGCATTTGAAGAGTGACATCGATGCTTGTTCCACAGAGCTGGAAAGCCTGTCGCAGCACGTCTCAACGATCAAGCCCATGTGGAAGAAGACTTGGGGCGAAGAGCTGGAGAATATAGTCGAGGAGCAGAAATTCCTCACACATCAAGAGGAGCTCCTCGCAGATCTCATTGAAGATCATAAGGCGGTAAAGGAAGTGTTTGGACACGTTGAGAAGTTCATCTCTTTGAAAGGGAATACTGGAGTCCAAAAGGCGCTGCGGACATATCGGTCGCAACCTGCGGATGCGAACAATGCAGGCCGTAGCAACGTGATGTTGGAAATCAGGGGTGCGCATGTCGATCCGGAACGTCGGCTCAAGGCCATCGAGGCTGCGCAGAAGCAGCGAGACAAGGAGCTGGCCTCCCGCTCGGATGAATTTCAAGCCGAACTGAGCAATTTTGTTGATGGCAAAAAGCTGAAGATGACGGGCGGACCGGAAGAAGTGGAGCGCATCCGCCAGAAACGCAACGACCAAACGTTAAAGGCGATGTTCAATTCCAATTCTACCAATTCGTTGGTAGATGCAATATCTCCGACTTCTCCCATCTTTCCTTCAGGAACACTCACGTAAAGTAATGAGTCACGACTACAATATCTTGTTTCTTTGTTTGTTCTTGGCACTCTTCTTCTTGCATATTTTCTGCAGCGGGTATAATAGAATCAGAATACTATCTGTGCATTACATTCCCTAATGTACATTACTTCGCCACTGTCAAATCGGTCGGGAAACCAGCAAAGTCAACTTGGTCCTGCACATTCCGCCCAGCTGTCGTGAAGTTAAACCGTAATCGTAATCGGATCTGCGCCTAAAAAGAAATACATGAGTTGGAACACGTCGTACGACAATCTGTTCAACGTACCCCAGCGGGAGCAATCACTCGCATCTGTTGAGTGGCTGGTGTTCCCGGCAGGACATTCGGGTCCGAGATTGCAAGCATCTGTAGTTGTTGAGTCTGCCGGAAATGTCAGCATATGCGAGATGTGTGTTAGCAGGCTCCTCACCTTAGGAACTGCAGCTTGAAAATTCAACCCAGTAACGGCATCGGTTGCTGTGAAGGTTGCCAAGATGGTTACCATACCCGGCCGAGCAACAGATGGTTGTGGTGTCAGTGTGACCTTGAGGTTGTTCTTATCATATGCAGAATATGCGGGTAGCTTAGGGGCAGCAGGCTTTGCGGGCGAGGGCGCTGGTGGTGCTGGTGCAGTTCCAAGACTTGATGACATAGATGCTGCAGCCGAAGGTGAAGGACCGAAAAGTGAGGCCATATCGGATAGCCCACTCATGGATGCAGTCGGAGCGCTTGGTGCGGGGGCAGGCGTCGGTGAGAATGTCGCTGGAGTCTGATCGAATAGGCCTAGGATGTCGTTGAAGGTTGCCTTCTGCTGGCCGGCAGGTGACAACGCAGCCGCCTGGCTAGAGGAACCCCCCATATTATTATCCGATCCAAATATATCCTTGAGCAGATCTTGAGGGTTAGCGGCGCTTGCTCCATTGGTCGCGGGTGCTGCTGTTGAGGCCTCGTCGCCCATGAGGTCAATAAGGGACTACAGACGAGGTGAGATGGTGCAAAGGTAAATTGTATATGGACGTACATCCTTATCTTGTCTTGTTGGGCCAACTGGCTTAGCCTCGCTAACTATGAAGCAAGTCAGTGACTGTAGGCATAGGAAGATGTTGCACCTTACCAACTCCGAGCACGGTTGCCTTGATCTCAGGAGGGGGCATTCGTTCCAGCACACCCTCGGTGATCTCCCCTTGCCCAAACAGGCTGGAGAACTCAACAGCCCTCTGCTGGATCTCCAGTTCTTGACTGGTCGTGTATTGTGAGAGCATGCCATGGATGCGCTGCTGCTGAGGATCGTTTGGAGAAATTCGGGTGGACAATTTAGTAATGGATGTGAGGATAAATTGCCGAATGAGGGCATTTGCGTATGGAGATTGTAGTACCGAATCGAAAAGATCTATGATATCGGCCGGCGTGATCTGGGGAAAGCCAATCAGTTTGCGAAACGGGAAACAACACTCTCGCTTGCATTCTTATGCTGTTCCTCCTCCGTGACACCCTCCGCAAGGAGAATGTCGGAAAATTCGCCGATCAGCCAAACAGCGGCAAGCGTCAGGGATTCCTGCGAGACATCCGACTGCAACGCAACGAAAAGTCGTGATACGGTGTATGACTGGAGTTCGGGAGTGTGGCATACAAGGCGAATGAAGGATGAGAGGATCTCTTCACGAACGAAATTGCCAGCCTGTAATACAGTGAGAAAGACGGACATATCTGACATTGGACGGATGCTAACCAGCTTAAGAACGCGCAGCACAGTGTCTATATGCCATCTCCTATTAGGTGCGAATCTTTCGGCAGCCAAAGAAATTTGTGTTGTCATGCCCAACTTGAACTCATTATCGGCGACTTCGAGGAAGGCAAGGAGCTCGCGTATCAGCACCCGAACATTCGATTCTCGAACGAGTGCGTAGGACAGTTCCAAGGCTCGCCGGCGGATCGAGATATCGCCATCGCGTAAACAGTCCAGAATGGTGTTTTGGTGTCGGAGAACAGCGTTGGTGTCCATCGTGACGACTTTATTGAGTGTGTTCAATGCAACATAACTAGATAGGCGGGTTAAGGACGAGTGGAGGAGAAAGTTAGATGTGTTGATGCGTACCGGATATTATTATCCCTGTTCGTCAAGAACTTGCCGAGTATGTTGATAGCCATTACCCGAAGACTGGCATCAGCCTCGATTTCCAGGACCGTGAGTACTGTCTCGTATAATATTGAGTTGCCGACATTCTTGGCAGAATCAGTGTTCGTAGCGATCTGAGCCAGGATATCGTTGACCGCCTCGCTCGACTGAGCATCGCCTTTGCCAAGGATGCGGATAAGGCGAAGAATCTTTGTCTGCAAGAAGGGATCGGTTATGCCAGAAACGTCGTGCTCCGGACTGTAGCCAGTAGTGACAAGAGACTTCAGATGGCGAATAAGGAGAGGAACAGCCTATGCAAATCAGTATCAGGATATATGCGCATAATTCGGCACATATTACATACCTTTCGGAACTCGGGTAACACATTCGAGTCGTTTTCACACATCTCTGTAACAAGTGTCACACCAGTCAACAGAACACCGTGATTCCGGTCCGAAAGAAGAATCTTGGAGTTCTCGATGAAATGGTCGATAAGATCAGGCACTCGTCGCACGATCCTGAGAGCACAAAGAGCAGCCTGTTTGATAACGTCACGATGAATTCTATCCGTACATTGACTACTGCTCTCACCTTCTTCCGGATGTATGTGTTGCTTGAGCCCAAGAGTTTTTCTATCTCGTTACACAGATCGCGAGACATTTCCTCCGACGAAATGTTCGCAAATGTGCAGAGAGCCAAGCCCACGATATACATATTGGAATGATTCATGTCACTGAAATCTGTTAGTCTTCTGCGGTCACGTAGGGTACAGAACCCTCACTTCTTCAATGAGTTTGTAACCAGAGTCAACACCTCCTGATTCTCGTCCAAAAGCAGCATAATACCAAGATATCCTAGTCTCTTATCCGCAAACCTGGGGCTGGCAACTAGCTTCAAGCACTCAATCTGGCCAAAATGCGCCGGATACCCAAGCATATGGATGTACAGCAGCTTGGCGATGTTGTTGTGCCGGAGGAAGGAGTCTTCCTCTTTGAAAGAAGTGCGGATCGCCGCGGACTCCTTCTGAATGAGGGAACGCTCATCTGCCAGAGTCTGTATAGCATGTGGTTAGATTTGGTTAAATGGGCATGCGGGGTAAGAATCACCTTGCACGCTCGGATGGCCTTGATCAGCGCTGAAACGATGTGAACATTGATAGACAAGGACGGCGAGCTAACCGACCTTTCAAATTATGATATCCTCCAGCACCAGTGAGGAGGTTGGCGACCGTCGATGCACGCAGCGTGGCCGCCATTTTGCTAGGGATGAAGATAGGTAGGAATGCTGCGTTTCGAACTGAGAAGACACCCGGCGCGAGGCACGCACGTCGACGACCCCTTTGGATGACTTTGCTTCCGTTACGGGTCCAATCAATCTGATGGTTGAGAATGGCTGCTACTTGACCACCACCCCGGAATCAATGATGTTCAGAGATGAGTGCAGTTATATTGCATGCAGACGGTTGTTACACTCTACACAACGAGCGTATGATGAAAAATACAGTCTTGGCTACAAGAAAGCAGTTGTGAGGGATCCATTCAACCCAGTGATACTGTTACAGTCCATCATCATCGCTCTCATCCATCGAGGTGCGCGCATGTGCAGCAGTCTTATGAGTTTGCAGATGACGGTTCAGTTGATCGGGGCGTGAGAAGCGCTTGCCACAGCCCATTTCCGGGCAGAGATAAGGCTTGCTACCAGTATGCGTACGTAACTGTTAAACCAGACGTCAGCATGTGACAAAAGTGAACGCCGGTGGCCACGTACATGCTTGGTGTAATTGGAAGATTCAGAAAATGCTCTGCAGGTGATATGTCAGGGATCTGGAGAGGAGAGATCGCAAACAAACTGACCGGTCACAGTAGGTGCACTTGAATGGTTTTTCGCCATTGTGCGTGCGCTTATGGATTGTGAGGGCGCCAGCAATAGCGAATGCCTTGTTGCAACCAGGATAATCACAGACGAATGGCCCTGGAAGACAGTCAGCATATAGAATGATGACGATAGAAGATGTGGCCTACTCTCATTTGTGTGTCGCCTCTTGTGCTGCTGCAGAGTTGCCGGCTCCGAGAAGAACTGGTGACAGACGTCGCACTCATAGGGGCGATAACCCGTATGAGACTAACCAATTATATATCAGACATTCACTCGATAGAAATAGTCACACGACCCACCTGCACATGCCGCAGAATCTTTTGCTTACTAGCAAAGGCTCTGCCTTCGGAGTTACGGTCGCATCCGCGCCATCGACACCAATATTCGTTCTTCCCCGATCCGACATGATAATTCGTAAGATGATGCATGAGCTCCGCTGCCGAGCTGAACACAGCATTGCAATTCTGCCATTCGCATACGTGCTCTTCTGTTGTCGAGCAAGAGGCGCGGGAAGCCGTTTGACTGTTGAGAGAAAAAGTTGGGGAAACGGGAGAAATGGTCGGCATTGACGCTACTGGAGTCGGATGACTGAGGGACGGATCGATGTCCATCGGTCCGAGGTTCAAATGGTCTTGCAGCAGATGTTCGGCCATTGCAAGGGCGCTCGCGATGCTTCCTGGCTCTAGCTCTGGCGGCAGTTCGGAACCGCAATCGCCCCACAAACATTCGGTAGCGCCGTTCTGGTCCATACCGAACAACGATGGGTCGAACATGGCCTGGATAGGAACATGTGTATGATGGAGAGGTGGTGCCACGTGGGCACAGTGTACCCCAGGAAGATGAAGATGTTGAGAGTCCACATGCGCTTTGAGCTCTTCCAGAGTGGCGAAAGACATGTGACATTGCGACCATTGACAAGAGAAAAGAAGAGATGGTGATGCGTACATAGATGGGGCTGGGGAGCTCTGCAGGGACCCGACGAGAGACGGAGTGCGAGATCCGGGGCCTGGAAAAGATGGCCCCATTCCCATGCCATTTGGCATGAATTGATGCGGATGCGGAGGGATCATGCCCATCTGTGGGGGGATGTTAGGGTAGGTAGGCGACATGGCTTGAAAGTATTGCTGATTCGGAAAGACCGGCGGCAGGTCCCGACGTTGCTGTGAGGGTCGCATATCCAGTTGTACAGATGGGAAGAGTTGGGAGGATGCAAAGCAGGTTGGGTCAGTGCAAATTTGAGCGTCTTTCCCGCCGCAACACTGTCAAATTGATTTCAAGATGTGGTCGAGAGGGGGAAAGGGAAGACTAACCGCAGGCTGGGAGCAACCGTCACAGAACCACATCCCATTCCATGGTTGGGCGTGGGGCTGTGCGCACCATCCATCTTGATACGAGTGGTCGAAGCATTCTTCCTGGTCACACTCGACGATGGTGCATTGGTCGGTACACTCGATGATGCCCTGACAACCAGCGTCTGTGCACGGTACCTGGATGTCCATGTGCTGTGCCTCGCAGTCCTCACAGCGCACCTTACACTCTCTGCAGAAAGGTGGCTGTTGCTGGAGAACTTTTGCAGATTGCCCTGATAGCGGTTCGCCCTGATCTTGGGGTGGGGTAGGCGGGTAGACCGGGGATTGCAGTTGGGCTGACATGATGACTGGGGCGTTCATCCTGACACTGCCCGTATACACACGGATTTTCCGGACCGGTGAAGAATTTGGACGAGATAAAGGCTTGCCAGCAGGCCTTTTACTTCTAAGTTTGAATAGAACAGTAGATAGATCAGAGGGCGCAGAGTGAGAATTTGTGAGGAAAGAGCAGGGGTTCGCGACTGGGTAGGTACCGCACAAGTTGCGGCAGCAACGGAAGCAACTCTGTACCCGAATCGGCGAATCACGTCATCATGTCATCTATCTCCCTTTTCGGTCTGGCCGGTAAAACCCGTCACCGATCATCAACCAATGACGGTTTAGTCATGTGCAATCGATGGTATCCCTAACATGAAAGCAAGACCTATAAAATCCAACGTAACTATGGTGTAATAAATTGGACATCCCCTGTATTACTTCTTCCCCGCGACATTCGTCTTTTTCTTCGAAAAGCGCATCGGTTTCCCCTCAAAGCCAGGCCTTGCCTTACCTGGCTTGGGCTTGATGCCAGCCTTCTTATCTTTTCTGCGCTCATTACGCACCAACAAGTTATCAGACCGCTTCTTCTGTTTGGCTGCAGCAGAGACCTGGAGCTCGTGCTTGCGTTTATCCCTGTGGGGTCATCAATAGAGTGCCTTTAGGAAATAGACAATTACCGCACCAGTCCTTCTTGCTTTTCTCCTTCTCCTTCTCCTTCCTCTTCGCTGCCTTCTTCAGCCTCGCCGGATCATCATGCACTTTCCCGCCCTCAATCCTCATCTCCGCCTTCTCGTACCTATCCTGTTCTTCTCGCCTCTTCCGTGCCTCGGGATCGAGCTTGTCAAGCGCCTGTTGCTTCTTGGATAGCTTGGCGAGTGCCTGTGTTGGATCCGATGGAGCGATATGTCGTTTGGCCGCTTTGGATGAAGATGTAGTTTTTGACGTTACGGAGACGTTGAACGTCGTTTCTGGCCGGGACTTGGGAGGTTCAGGAACAAGCAGTTTAGTCTGTACAGTTTCGTTAGTCAACTATTGGATCGAACACGGTGTACACGTACCGGTGGGGGTAGCACACCCATCTTCTTTCCTTTCCCCTCCTTCTCAGTCCTTTCCTTCGCCTTCCGCTCCTTAGTCTCCTTCCTCCTCTTATCCCGCACCTCACCCCTCTTCTTCCGTCTCATCTCCAGCAGCTCGTCCTTCGTGCTCGGCATTCCGTCCGTCTCCTCCCCAGCTTCAGTCTCATCGCCCGGTCTTTTCCGACCGGATTTAAGTTGCAGGGCAGCGATACGCTCATGGAGTTTTGAGCGCAGCTCGGTGATCGAACCGGTGCCCATAGGGACAGGCTCCTTGTGTAAGACAGCAGACTCATCATCTTCATCATCGTCTGACTCCATCTCTTCAGCTTTACGTTTCCCTTTACCCTTGACATCTCCATTTGATTTTTTGGCCTCGTGTGCTGCCTCCTCTTCACGCAGGATATCTAGGGTTGTCTTTTGATTTGCAGGATCAAGCTACGAATGTCAGTCCCATGATACAGCATTCCTCGGATGGAACATACGTTTGCTCGTTTAGCCTTCTTGGTAGCCTCCTTCACCTCCTGCTTCGGTATCTTCTGATTTTTGGTGTTCTTCTGCCATTTGCTAGCGATCTGCAAGAAGCTCAATGCGCGTTCGCCGTCCTTTGTATTAACATACCTCATCTTTGTTCTCAACAATATAGTATCTCAGCGGTATGAGCTTCAGGAGGTTTGAAAACACCTCGTTGTGTCTCTCCAAGGATTGCCTAAGAGTCGCTGCATCGTTGATCACGACCGCCATTCTCGTGTTCGTATCTTTTCGTGCGTGTTGCCACTGGCAAATTATTGGCGAAGTCCCTGATGCCCACAAAAGCTGAGGGAGCCTAGCGGAGGCAAAAAGGGAGGAATAAAAAGCAACAGCACGTGCTCAACACGCGCCCAAGAAGCTGCGGTCAACTTCGCTAACCAGGAACATCCAAGGGATCGCACGCGCAGCCTGCAGGCCAACATTCCTCACCTACTCCTCCCTTCTCCTGCGCTACATCACCCCCGCGCACAGCACTCTACACTCACTCAATTCACTCATTACGACACTACATTCCCAACGCCGTCATTGAGCGCGTTGAGCTATTGGAGGCTGGGAAGGAATGTCGACGACACCTATACCCCGTCCACCGATCGCACCGCCCGTCGTCACACCGACGACACCACCGCTAGTGCCGACGTCAGATCAGGTGTGTTCTATTGCACCTGCACTATAAACTAGTACTGAGAGATTCCAGGCTGTTGTGCTATATGTGCTGGCTGTTTACCTCATCGTCCTTATACCGCTGTGGCATCTCCCAGGTGCCCGGCACCTCATCTCCCCGCTCAAGGTAGCTACTTTTCTCAACAATATCGAAGCTCTCTTTCTCACATGCTTCTGTAGCTGCTTATAGTAGGGTGGCATGAGTTATGTCACATAACTATGGTATGTCATAACTTGCTCGCAGTGAAACCGCATATTGACACTGGTCAAAGGCGATGATGACTGGAGGCAAGGTGCTAAGGTGAGCATCCTACATCTCGCTCCTATATTGTTTTCTGACAACCACTCAGTATAACAATCGATCCTAATCTCGGCGGAGCGACTCGGGTCGAGGGTGGACACGCGCCTACGATCCTCTCGGCAGGCTATGTTGGCTCCACTCTCTTCGGCTTCCTCCTTCTCATTGCGGGTTGGGATACTCTGGGCTCAAAAGTCGCAAGCTGGGTGATTGCGATCGGCCTGCTGTGTCCCCTGGTACTGGTCCGGGATAAGCTGTATGCCCATTTCTAAGCCATTGTCGGATGGGGTCCCTAACTCGCGGAATAGAACCATTGTATTAACCTTCTTTTATGAAGCACTTCTCATCGGATTTTGGTTCATCGATCATGCAAACGCCCTTCGCTTCTATTGCTTATTCGTTGGTACGTCCCTTCCATACTTTCTCCCTAACTATGTTGATCATGTGTGGGCAGGGACGATGAGCATATTCTATGTAGTCTGTGAGTACCCCGTGCCTCGTGTCTGTGAGTTGACCCTAACATGCTTCTCAAGGGGACATATCCGACGATCGCTTCTTCAACAAAGTGAACGATTCTGATGCCACACAGTTCAGTCTCTTATTTCCCCATATCCCGGTTCATAGTACGTAATCCGTCGAATAACGCTTAACAGTGACTTAACACAGGCGCAGTATGGGCCATGTTCTGGCTCGTATTTTCGGCCCTGTTCTTCATCGCTTCTGTGCTTATTGGGATTGCATCGTTTAAGGTGAGCGCTATTGATCAATGTTTTCCCTCAAGGCTCATCCTGATGCAGCTTTCCGCTGCAGACATGCAAGCACAAGCAGCACAATGGCTTCCCACATAATAGACATTTCCCCCCCTTATCTCCTGTTCAGGCCATATCAGAGGCTTCTTGTATTTGGGTCACCACGTTCTTGACACGCATCTCTCTTCGGATGATCATCATGTATGCGTCATAAAATTGTAATTGTATGAACAATTGGACTGTAACGCGATGTGCGATAGGTCAGGGGGTGAGGGCCGTGATGGTCGGAGCTAGTCGTGGTAGATCGGAAAATTAGACGAGGGATCATGCAGCGTTAGACCCGAAATGAAACTGAAGGGCGGATGAGGGGGATTCACTTGCGTATAGCTCGACGGACTAGACCAACTGCGAGCAGCGTCCCGACCGCCGCGACCCCTCCTGCGATGGCCATACCAATGTACCCCTCTATGAGAGGATTAGTACCGAGTTGTCTCCCTACAAGGACAGATGAACATACCACGAGCAACTCCACGATCGATCAAATCCCGCAAACTCTGGGCTTGCAGGTTACCGGGCTCCTTTTGGAGTAGCAATTCTGTCGCCTCATGTCAGCCATCCCCAAGTCCGATATAATAAAACGCACCATTGAACTTCCTCGCATCGTCAAAGTTGCCCATCTTATAGTGTCCCAGGGCAAGGTAGTACAAGCACTCTCTCCTCCTCCCTGCTTCTGCGCGGTATATCTCTGTTCTTCCGTCAGTACCTGCCGACCCGGATCCAAGGATGACATACCCTGCAGCAGCTTCACTCCCTCTACTTGATGCTCCCTCTGTGGGGACTTGACGAGCCCCCAGGCATAGTTGAACTTGGTCTGAACAGTTACGTGCGACTTTTCAAGTTCGTTGTTGTATTGCTGGCGAAGAACCTAGAGAGAGAATGAGATCTACACATACTCAGGGGCAAGGAGGAAGTACTCACGTCGAGCTCATCCCAGGACAAGGAAATCTCCGCATCGGCAGCGTATGGCAAATCGGTAGGCATTTTGAATATAATCAACGTAGGTGAGACGATAGTCGATGTTGGAATGTTGACCCACAAAGGTTTTATAGGAATGGTGACGACCACAACCGGCAGGCACGCTCCGGGCTTTCACGAGCATATTAGGGGCTGTGCAGTGGTGCTTGGGCGCTTACTGGTTGCTGCGCAAAACGCAGTCAGTGCGCCAAAGGTTTGGGGCATAATTAACTGTCCTTGGATTGAGGTATTCTACACGAGCTGATAAACTAGTGCTTCGGGAACATCGGTCCCGTTCTGTGCTACATTTGGTTGAGAGGGGGGTATCCGATAATAATAGGATCAGTCAGGAAGAAAGCAGCCAAATATTACAGGTTCGCTTGAGAAATATGGTGAACATCCTCGAGGAAGTCGAGCAGAGTGCTGGCACTCCACGCTTGAGTCGGACATGCGTCGCGACAGTAATCACCATCGCGGTTTGTAAGCTCGGGAATGCCAGCCCACGGCGCCGTCACGATGTGGCGACGAGCCGGAAGAAGGCTGTTGAGGAGGTACTGCAGAGTTTCGTTCGCGTCTTCAGAACCCTTTCCGACAGAAGTGTCGAAGTACAGGTAGGCACGCAAGAAGTAGCCCATGGGCCACATCCATTCCGGCCCTTGGTGGTAGTTGAGACCTTTGGCAATGGCGAAATCGGTACCATCGTTTGAGTTATCATAGTCGCCATGATACTGTTGATCGATTGGATCCAGCGTCCTCATCCCCAGAGGACCCTTCAAGACTTCGTCCACAAGCCTGAGCGCACCCAGAGCATGAGCTGGGTCGAAGAGCTCCGGTGCAACCACCATGGCAATAGGGTAGTTAGGGCGGAACTGGTAGTCAGACCACTCGCGACCTGGGCCAGAGCCATACACGTCCTTGTAGATACCGCGACGGTTGACAATGCTAGTCTGACAGTTGTACTTGACATCATCCTTTGGATCGACAGGAACGTAGTAGTTGTACTCGAAAGACTCCTTCAGTAAAGAATGCCACTCCTTGTACGTCACGAGACGCCGTTTTCCGTTAACTGCAGGAGAATCAGCGAAGGCCTAGTGGATACGACAAGAGGACATACTCTCAGCCTGTACTCCCTTGAAAGGGAACTGCCCTTTACTAGACAGGTCATCGAGCCAGCGAAGCGCGCTTGCGAGGAGACCGGTTATCTCAACAGGTGCCCCATCACGCGGGGTGCCAGGAACACCCTTATTGCCGGCCTTGTAAGACTCGCCCATCTTATCCATCCAAGTACCGCAGTTGTGCTTGTTGCCACCGAAGATGATACCGCTCTTCCAGTCGACATAAATATCAATATTGAAACCGGCGTCTGTCATCTGCATGTCCAAATTGGGGCCAGCATTGTGTTCTCGGAAATGAATCCCATTGGCATGACGCTGAAGGATCTCTTGAATGACTTCCGCCACTGTGCTGTGATAGGCATAGGCTCGAGGGTCATTCCAAGCGACCCAGCTATCGTCCGCAGGGAATCTGCGAGGGACCGATTCGGCAAGGATAGAAATTCCATCCGGCGCGGACAGGACGTAGTCCTGAATGTTCTGCACCATCCACCATGGAGAATCACGAGAGTTGTATCGGGGGTTGCGGATAGAGTCGAGGAGATTAGGAATGAGTCCATGCTTGAGAGTGGAGCAGAAAGCGAGGATATGTCGCTTGGCGGCGGTGAAGTTGCCGGTGGTAAGGAAAAGACCGCGAAGAGAAATGAAAACATCACGGCCCCAACATCTGGCCCAGTTAGCCGAAAAGTGAGGCAGGCCAGCTGCTAGAGAGGGCACCGCCTTCACAGGATCGAGAGATGCAGACTTGACAAGGCCGTGCATCTGCACTGACACCAAAGCCAAATCCTGTGTAAAGGAGTGGCCAGAAGAAACAAAATCGGAACATTGGTCCATGACGACACGCCTAGCAGCTTTGTACGCCTCGTAGATGACGATGGCGAAATATTTGGGACGAAGGAAATCAGCAGAAGTTGCTTTGATTTCGTTGAAACGTTCGTTGAACCATGCAACTGGAACACGAAGCTTGGGGAAGGTGGTTTGTTGTCTGAGGAGGCATTAGCATTGAAAGTGTTACGATAAGATTTCAACTCACTTGGTAAGACGGTTGACAGTCCAGTCCATCGCCCAGGTCCCGTTCCGAAGATGCGCGCACAATGGATGGCCAAGATCGTTATACTGCATAATATGACGGAGATGGGTCATCCATCCCTCAAGCCCGCAGTATACGTTTGTGCCGAGGGCAGGAATGTCGTATGTTCCGTGACCATCTGTATGTGGCTGTGAGCGAACATTCCTGAACGGACAGAATTTCGTACCAGTTGCGTCACGTTCCTCTCCATCTGCACGATAAAGTAGTACGTTCAGCTCAACCAAGTCTAAATCAGCAAATGCTTCGTCCGCTCCTTGTTTGCAGATCTCCTCGAGTTCTGGTCTGAGCCCATCCATCTGGGTTTCAAATAACATAACACTCCCAGGAGGGAAATATTCCGGCACGCGGATCTCCGAGTACGGGCCAGCGGCGTCAGAACCTTGCCCAGGAATACATGGCGGGAGGTCCTCGAGCTTAGAAGGAAGGCCGAGTAGCGTTGTCTTACTCGAAATATCCTCATAACCAGTGACGTTGATGGTTGCGCCCGCGATGAATGTCGCTTTAGTACGCCGGAGCTGAACAGGTTTGACTAATAGGGGTCAGAAAATGGAAGAGACACGTGATGAAGAATGCGCTTACTCCAACCACGTTCTTTACTGCCCTTATGAAAGGCCGTATGAGCCACAAGTAGGTATCCCTTCTGGGTCGTGTGCTGCACACGATGCGTTACAATGTACTAAACGCGGATCAGCGGCAGCCAGAAAACAACAACGATGGAACACTTGCCTCGTTCTCCTGATGAACATGGCCCTCATTGTATTCACCAAGCACCATTTCAACATGCAGATGATTGAGGATTCGCTTCATCCTGCTGATACCTCGGTCCTCCTCACCCGTGAGGACTTCATATTTCCTCGACTCGTTAACGAGGTCAAGCAGTTTGGGATACAAATCATCGAAGCCTTTGTTTGAGCCCGTCGCGCACCACGCAAACGGGACGAGTGAGCCCGTCGAGAGCGCATCTTCGGCGCTACGTTTATGGAGTGGGGACTCGTTGTCGTGCGTAACGTCGAAAAGCAATGCATGCGGAGCGGAACCCTGGAGGGGGGTTACAATACACGGTCGTGGGGCACCGTGACCAAGAGGGTTGGGGAGTTCCTCTTTGCTAGTCAGACAAGCTCCATCCATGGATCCGATTGGTTTCCCAACACCATGGCGGTACAGAAGACGGGACATCTCTTGAGGATCCCATCCGTTCATAGACTCTCTGATAAGACTGTTGATGCCCAAATGGCTCACAAAGACCAGATCCATTTCCTCGCTACCAGTGAACAGCTCCGCGCAGACATAAAGGTTAGGGTTGACCTTGCGAGCTGCGTCCAGGAAGTAAGTTCCCACGTGGAGGGGAGTGGAGTGACAATTGTCCATACGGAACCCATCGAATGAGCCTGCCAGTTGCTTTACGTAGGCCTTGATGTATGCCCAGAGCCAGGGGTTGTCCTTGGGCGCGTTGCCAAAGCGAAGTTTCACACAGTCGCCCCAAACGATGACTTCACGCCGAAGGTAGACCTTTGAAGGAGGAAGGGCGAAGTTTTGTAAGGGATCCGCGCCCCAAATCCAGCCATTGTTAGCAACCGCAAGAGCACTAGGGTCGTGCTTGGCCGTTCTGGAGTTTTTGGGAAGTCGTGTGAAATAGGTCTCGACGAGTGGCATACGCGCGCTGATTTCGCCGAGCTTAGGGCCGTTGTCGTCCAAGCGCATGTAGCGGATACGATTGGAGACATTGTCTAGTGCAACTCGGGTGTCTTCTTCCCACTCGCCGTACAACGGCACGTTAAGAACATCGACGACGCGGCCCCAAGCTTCGGAAAGCTCCTCCGGTGTCTTAAGCTCTGAGAACGCAGACTTGACCAAGCTCGCAGCGAAAGTTGGGTCCACATGCGTACAGAATCGAGACGAGAAGGCACGTAGGTTCTCGACCTTCCCATGAGTCGTCACATATTGTGCAATCTCGACCACAGTCTTCCCAATCAGGTTGTCCCCTGTCCATTGCGGGACCTTCCCAGAGGCGAGAGCGGCTTTGACTTTGGTCTTCTCCGTGGTGGAGTCCAAGACATAGTATTGCCAGAAGTTGAGAGCGCGCATATCGTCCCTCAGAGCGTTAACAAGGGTAGCGATATCCTGTTGGGATGTGACCTTGGTGGGAAGGGAACGCGAGACAAGCGTGGCAGACAGGCGCATGATAGCATCGTCCAGCTCCAGAGCCGGTGTCAGGTGAGGGGTATTCTGTGGACTGTAACCAGCTTCGGGGTGATCATAGAGCCATTTGGTAGAGTTCGATGTGTGATTCAAAACCACGTCCGTCATGCTCAGCAACCCGTACTCTTCTCTGGCGATCTTCAGCATTCCAGCCATTTGGACAGCACCTTCATGGGTTGAGAGGGGTTCATCGAACAGCTCCCTGTCGTAGGCTAGCTGGTCTTCGATACTGTAAGGGCTGCGGCTCTCTCCACGCTGCTGTAACGGTGTAAAGTGTAACATGTTGTAACCCCTCTCCATGGCCTCGGCCAAATGTGGCCGCCATTGCGAGATGGGGCCCATCCATTTGGACACAACAGTCAGGATGGCAATGCCGTCCAGGGGTAAGTTGACTGTTTTGTTCGGCAGAAGTTTGCCGCCCCCGGCCGCAACCGACAAGGGTTTTAGGGTGTCAGAGAGGATGGATGCGCGAGGGTGGATCTTCAGGATGGGGTCGACGTTAAAGTAGCCTTCGCGGCCTTTGATACGCTCTGTTTTTGCGGAGAACATCGGCGGGTCGTACTCGATCCAATAGTGAAATGCACCTGGTGCGGAGATAGCGAGGTCGAGCTGGATCGGTTTGGAGAGATCAGTCGGCAACTTGCGCTCATAGTATTTGTCGCGGCCGAATGAACCACCCTCAAGGGGGAAATTTGTTTTCAAGACTCCGTTCTTTGACGGGGGAGTACCAGCCTCCAGAGATAGACGAAGCACATAGGGCTTCGTGGGAGGCGGGAGACGGATATACTGGCGCATATATTTAGGGGTGCATATAGCCATGTTCGATATTTGTGCTCACCGATCTATCCTTGTTTGGACCACCATCCTCCTCAAGTGGTAGTTCGTAAACTTGTATGGGCGCATCACCTACTTGGTGCTCGCGTGCAAAGAACTCGAGGCCCTCGTCAGCGGGTGTTTTGGGACCAGCGTGTGCGGCGGAGCCGATATGCGGCTTTGGGATGTCTATGGGCGTGGGGGTGACCTTGCCGCTTGCACGCCCATTTGGCATTGCAGGCTTAAGGTTGTTAATCGCGGATGCGGCCTTGCTAAGGGCGGCAGACATGGTGGGGAACAAGATGGTGGAGGAGGGGAAGAGAGAGGTGAGAGACGCGGATTTATGACAAGGGACGGAAAGGAATGATCGCGATTGGGAAGAAGGCTGTTGCCCCCGTCGTCACTAGCACGATGACGTCGGTTCGTAAACAGCGCCTTCATCTTTCTCTCGTACACGTTAACGTTATAGCCGATTGCTACAACATATATTCTCCAGCATTATACATTATACAATAGTCTGTTCTCCATCTAACCATTAATTCATCATGTTCATAACTTGTCACATATCCAATACGCGTTCACCGCATGAAAGGGGCTCATGCAACGTGAGCACGGCCTTGGAAGCTGATTCCTTGTCCCTCATCATCACCAATTTGTTTCCGTTCAGCCGCGTGCCGTCAGCATCCGACGGCTTGGCTTCCCTTCTGGGCAATCAAGCCAGCTTTGTGGTCATTGTTCAAGCCTGTTCATCCTACCAGTCCCTGATCAAGTTCACAATGAACATCTGAGAGTGAACGACGATGGCTTTTCGTGGATTTTCAGACCCGAGCAACGGGGATAACCTCTTGTCTTCGGCCAAACAAGAGGTGTGTGGGAAAACTGGCTCATCATCCACATTGACGCCGACCGCCTTGCAGGACGAGGATTTGGCCGTGTATAACTGGGATGATGAAGGCGGCTACGGATATGATATCGGGACACTAGAAGAAGAAGGAGATGATATGAATGATGAAACGTTTGGAGGCGGGAATGTTGGTGAGTGCAGATCTTCTTCACAACTGGGCCCAAGTCACGAGCGATTCAAGGCACGGACTTCCAGTTCGCAAGAACGACGGGAACGTTTGCGCCGGCATCTCGCGCTCCACCTAAACAAGAGCACAAGCCTGCCCCGATTTCTTCCCACTTATCGAGTGCCAGAGTGATGCCCAATACCTCCAACAGACGTAAGGGTTTTTCTCTATAACGTTCTTTGGTACTTAAAATCATTGCAGCGGCTCCGTCCATCCACAAAGGGGAAAACACTCTGGAGGCACTATGGAAAGACAATTCAGTTTCGTCTGTACTTGGTGGAATTGTTCCTTCGGGAGGTTCACTGATGGGAGCGCGTCATACCCCTCGTGTGTACCATCTTTCGAATGACGAGATCTTTTCTCATGCTTCAACAGCCACTCATACGCCGACACCACCGCGACCTACTAATATCCCTCCGCCAAGGGCTTCCCAGCCCCGGATTATGACTTTGCAAGAGATCGAGGCTGAGATGGAAGCTCAATCTCGTGGTGGAATTGCTGCCACCCACAGTATGCCACAGTTCCCGGGTGGCGAAACTTACGCTCCGCCGCCGCGCGCGCCTGTACAGGTGTTGCCCCAAATACCCATCCAGTCTGTACCCCATCCCAGCGATGGGCACTTTCTACCACAACAGGGATACGGTTTACATATGCCGCGCAATAGTATGGAGGGTCTGGTTCCCCAGGAGATACGCCCTGCCTCGGGAGGACGGCAAGGATTTCCAGTCGATGGACATTTACCACCCGAGCTGCGCCCTGCGGGCGGTACATCGCCTTATCACCCGCTGCCAGAGAACACCTTCACTCTGCCGTCCATGAGGCCAGACATGGAACTACCGCCCGAAATCAGACATGCCGGTGGACGCGTGTTGATGGATGTCCCCATTCTCCCTCCTCACATGCGAGCAGCGCCCATGCAGGGCCCTCCTGCGGCAAGGGACCCGTTCTACCCGCCTCAGAATCAGATATTCTCCTTGGACGAGATCGAGCGCCAGATGCAATCTACCCGACTCGGTGGACCTATGCCTCAACAGCCAATGCCACAGGGTCCCCTGCACAATATCCCGGATATGGGACCCATGCTTGTCCAACAACCTCCGCATGTTGCTCCCTTCGAGGACTTACACCAACAGGTTATCCCACAACAGCAGCAGCGACCGGAAAGCGGTCTGTTCAAAGGCGATATTGCTGATCTTCTCGACTTCCCGCCCCTTGGGGGCCAGCCACTTGCAGGCCATCCTATGATCGGAGAACATCCACCGAATACCCGTACGCCGGAGCAGATCATCGAGCTCTCGGTTGAGAAACGTGCCGCACTCATGCGCGATGCACAGGAGAAAATCAAAGCCACGGAACGGCTCGAAGCGAAACGGCGCCGGAAGGCAGAGAAGCTGGCGCACATGTCCCGCAGGAACGAACTCATGTCACAAGGCGACAAGGACTTCATCACTCGCATTCAAGTTTCCCAACTTGTCACTGAAGACCCATATGCGGACGATTTCTATGCTCAGGTCTTTGGTGCCATCGTTCGCTCTAGGATGGGGCAGTCTGGTGGCGGAGAGGCCGTCATCAAGTTTGGCGACGTCGGCGTTGGGATGGGCATCGGACGCGGTGCCGGCAGGAGAGAGAAAGCTATGGAAAGGATGAGGCAGCAAGTCGAGAAACTCGTGCAGCATGCTAAGAACAGGGAGAAAGAGAAGGACACTGATCGTAAGTGTGGTTTCTGTCCCTGAGATCGGTTTACTGACTCCTTGGTAAAGAAGAAAAGCATATTCGTGCACTGGGCAAATTGACCAGTCGTACTTCTAAGGTCGCACCTAGACCACTGTTGCAGGTCCGGGACATAATGGGATCACCGCCTATCACGCCTCCCAGCGATAGAAACAGAGGCACCGTAAGCCAGTTACATATATGCCGCGAATAGGTCTGAGCGTATTCTAGGACCGTAAATCTGCCATGTCGCACCGTGACATTCTTCTGCGCATCGAGAAGCTATACGACATCGTCTTACAACTTGAGCAGAAGCGGAGGGAAGAGCCGCACGGTGAAGAACAGGAACCACAGAAGCAAGAGTGGTGAGCTGCCATCTTCGTATATGCAGGTCCCCCTTCTAATTTTATTTCAGGGAAATGGAATACGCGGCGTTGGTCAAACATGTCTGGACAGAGCTACATGTGATGGATCCGCTCGACATTAGTGATCCTCACCCCGTTATTGCTCTTCTCGGGCCTGCGAAGGGCAAGAAGCTTCTGCCTCGCATCCTTCGTCACTTATCTCAGAAGGAGTCATTGACTGTCGTGACACTCCTCATCGCGTGCTTCAGCCAGATCGATGTTGTCCGCAAAGCGTACATTCTGGACAAGCCGGATAGCCCAGAAAAACTCGAGATGGAGAAGCAGACAGAATTGTTCCTATCGACCATATTGCCTGCGTTGATCTCTGCCCTGAGAAGAGCTGGTCTTCGGCTAGTCAGCGGTTTACTTGGACACTTAATCACGAGATGTAATGTGGCAGAGGTCGCCCGCACAAGAGTGAGCTTATTCATACCCTTACCTAATGGATGTCTCCTGAACTTTACGTAGCCTGGTCTTGAATTGTTGACCATGTTCCTCGCTCAAGCGGAAGGCTTGAAACATGCGTCCGAACCAGATGCGCCGTCTGCTGAAGAACTCGAACAGTGGCAGAAGACATGTACTTCTCTTTTCAGCGCGCTGTCGGGCACCCTCCTTGCGCTCTTCCCTTCTGCTCGCAGGCATGCCCACCTCCCTTTCGGTACTGCCCAATATATCCGACAAACCGCAGCCGACGATGTTGCTGATCAGCCCACTTGGCAATTCCTCGCGGCATTGGCTATCAGTGCCGACATGGCTGAGCAGCAGCATCTCGTTGGGGAGCTGCGTGATAAGGTTTTGGAGAACGTAATGAGCCAGCGCACAGGCCTTGCGACCACAGAGGAAGAAGCCCGCATGAAGATCGACAATGTAAATCTGTTCCTGAATGCGCTTGGTATCGATGCATCACAAATACAGATGTGAATGATACATAACTACGGAGTGTTGTAGCAATTGCAATCGATTATGTTTTTTTGCGAAGCAGGAGAGTACAGTGTACATCGTGATTGCCCCATAAATTATGTTATTCAGCATCGAGGCCAAGCATATCCTCCTCCTCAATCTCCGCTTCCTCTTCCTCTTCATCATCATGATCGTCATCGTGCAAACAAAGCAGTTCATCAGCGTTGTATGTCGATGGCTCGTCCAAAGACAGAAGTCTGCTGCATTCAGTGACCTCTTCATGTCGATATGCCCCACGCCATGTCAACAAGTCCAGTGAGGCGATGTTACCCCAGAGGTCAAGAACCGGGAGATCGTGCCAAGAGGGCAACGTTCCTTGCGGCAGATCCAACAAGTGAACCCCATAGTCACTTTCGGTGTGACCCATAAGTGGAACCTGAAACTGGGCTTTCTTCTTGGTTAGAATGCGCTCAGGTACGTAGCGCGCATGCTCTCCAGGTTCCAGATGGTTCGTCGACAAGGAGACGAAATGATCATAGTTCGGGTACAGCATCACATAACCTCTGAGGTAGGTCATTTCGATGAAGTACCTCTTCCATGAGTTTGCCCACTTGTTGGACCGAATGTTCGGCACGATGTCGATGCCCAAGTCTTGTCCGCGCGGCGACAGACGCAAGGAAAGGTATTGGTGGAATTCACGCCAGTGCTCAGGAAAAAACACCGCACCCCAGCTGCATGGAACCTGAGACAAATATGGACTGTGTGGGTATCTCATGGACGAGTTTGTGAAGAGGATCTGGGCATTGAATGGGTGTCGTCCTTCGGGCTTGAGCTCAATGTGCTTCGCCTGATACAAACTGACGCCAAAGAGGCGACTAGACTCCGCGCGGTCCGGTCCGTATCGATATCGCAAGATGGTGAATTTGAGCCACGCGTAGAACATGGGAGATACTTCCACGTCATCCTCGAGTAAGACGCCATACGTGTCGTTGGTGAATGGATACCAGGCTTCGACCACTGCAGGAAGAAGACCACCGCGAACGACGCGATGACGCAATTGAGCGCCCGCTCCTGGCCATTTTATGTTCTGAGCTTCGCGCAGAGTTTCCGCATCGGCGGTTTCTTCAAGATTGATGGATAATATGGGTTGATCTCCATAGTAGGATGCCTTTTGGAGAGAAGAAAGAAGCCGCCGGAGTGATGCCGGTCGATTGTTTGTTATCACCGAGAGCTCAATATGGGGTATATTCCAACCTGGCGACACAAAACATCAGGACCAATCAAGGTTATGGAACTTTCTCGCTCACTTTGTAGTTCCTCAGTACTCAGCTCTGCTATCCATCCGGAGACGGGCAAGTCTTGGAAGGGCAGCCAGATAATGGTCGACGCCGAGCTAGTCGTGTATATGCGCACAAGACCGAGAAGAAGTGTCTCGTCGGCATGTCGTATGGTATGCAGAACGACGCTGGGTGAAATACAATTGCGTGACAACCAAGACTGTAGCTGATCAATGGTGGCTGTTTCTTTCTCACGGACATCATAATGCAGGTGACAGCCGCCAAGGGAAGCCGCTCTAGCGCCATGAGGGTAGGAGGGCTCATCATACAGATATATGCGAATCGCTCGGCCCCGACTGGCCATGCGACATATCGTAAAGGCAAAAGCAGTCAACTCCTCCACATTAGCCAGGATGATTCCGATAGGGAGATCCGGCTTATGACCTTCCTGCTTCATTTGGAATGCACGATATCGGTCAAACACGATCTGTCTCGGATTGAGGTTATTATTAGTCCCAGGCTCAAGAACCTGCTCTTTAGCACGGGAACACCATTCAGGAGCGTGACTGGTGGGAGAAGCTAGTGTGCTGAAGGGTGTATGCGCCAATCCTCCGAACGCTTGTCCCGTGAGTCGGGCCGTTCGTTCTCCCAGGGAAAACCAAACCCGAAAATCATTCATGCGGATCGCTCCCTCCAGCTCCTGAAGCAGACTGGTTGGAACGACCAGAGGTGGTACGAGAAAGGCGACGGGTGCATAGGTGTCGTATGTATGTTCTGTGCAGGAGATATTCGTAGGGGAGAACGAGGCTCCCCGCGGTCCAACTGGATATGGAAGTGCCTTGGGAGAGAGAAGACTGGCTAAGATTTCCGGACTGATATCGTGCGATCCTTTCTCGTCGAGTATAACGACGTAATCTTTGGTGCTTTTCGCTGCAACATGTAGCCAGCCGACACGTGCGCTCAAATCGTCCTGCCACGCCAGCACCCGCAAAGGAACGTTCGCATCACGGAGGGTGAGAAGAGTTGCTTTGACTACCACAAGAACATCATCCAGCAGCGATGGGGGCGCAGCGACGATTAACTCGCCGGGACGGTTGGCCGCGATAAAAAAGGGAGCGAGCAAGCTCGGAAGATGTGCGTATGATCCGGTGTCGACAGGTAAAACGATTGTCACATTCTCCCTAGGCACGATCTCGAAGTCCTCGGCATCGAAGGGATCTCCCCTGATGGGTAAGATGGGTAGCGGCTCGAGGATAGGGGGAGGATCCTGCGGCTGGTTCGGCTCTCTCAGACGATGACGCCGAGCTGTGGAGGACGCGCGAGTCGTGAAAACTTGTCGGCGGTCATGGACGAAGAGGAGATAAAGTGCACATATAGACACGAGCAGAACAAGAGAAAGGAGCGCCTGTCCGAGGCGCCAACCGCGGCGTTTCTTCTTTGTCCGAACGGTAATTACGGAATTTCCGAAGAGAACGGACCGCCAAGAAGGCCGCACCCTGTATCTTATCAGATTATTCCCCAGATGGTCGGCAACCTCCGTGGCGTGGAGAGACATCGAAGTAATTAACAACTGAATGGCGGTTCCCTGAGAAGTGTCACACGGACGTCGACAGCGACGGCGACGTGCTCGCGCTGACCGAAAACCCGACGAGGCCGACGCGTCCCTCCTTCCCACTGGCCACGGGCATCCTCGGACCGCGCGGGGATCCAACGTGGACCTTGGCAGCTTGACAGCTGAAGCTCGATTACAAAGGGTACGTCAACGCGGCAATTCGTTTTACCATCTGATGAGTCAAAAACCCTAATTGAACTGCTCGGATGGGGCATGTACAAGTGTAAAGAGATTACAATTATGATGCGTGCGAAATAGCGAAGTATGCTCGATATAGTATGCAGAAAATAACGGACGCAGGCTCAAGGTCCATCATGGTACAGCGACCGTGGCGTGCGAGCTCCCCCGGCTTGCATCACCAATTACCACTTCTGCAAATGACATCAGGCGGTTTCTACGGAAGAAAGATGGAATACACACTGAAGAACTCGTAACATAACCAGCACAACGCGTTGCTCGGCATGTACGTCAACACTCGGGGTGATATGCCTCGTGCAAATCCCCAGATCCCGTTCCGCTGCCAGATGATCTTGAAAGCATCTACCATACCTCGTGCGTTGCGTATTCGTATATCGTCAGAGGTCCCTCGCGTTTGCAGCAAGGTTTTGGCAACGTCAAGTGGGGTGGTTACAGCAGCAGCAACGCCTCCTGCTATGCCACCAGCCGTTACGTGTGTCAGTGGGGAGTAAGTGCCTTCGGGATTCAAGAACTTCTTCATAGATTCGTAGGTTGAGAATTGAACGGCAGTAAACGGTACCGTCATCATGAGGGTTGTGGGATAGGAGACATAGAATGCGATAAGGCCCTCGTTTTGGTACACGGAGCGTGCGCATTGTGCGACATTCCGATAAGATGATCCGTAGAGTTGCATGCGTTGTTTGATGACTGTGCCGAGTCATCAGCCAAAGTTTGCAAACGGATAAGAATGACAAACCATCAAACGGATTCATCAACGCATCGTGGGAAATGGTAGCACATGCACCTGCTAAAGCTGCATTATCGTCAGATGGTGTCTTCACATCAAAGGAACGTTGCATACCTGTTGCAGCAACATGGTGTCCAGGCCTGTTACCTCCTGTCGTTTCTTTTACTAACTCGTATGTCCCGAAGTAGAGGGCATGTGCAGGACCAGCGCCCACAATCACGGATGCGACACCTCTCCACAACGTCCTCAGCCCCTCAGTAGACGATATCCGTGCTACCGCATTCCCTAGGCTGGAGTATACAGCTGCAGGGGAAGTAGAAAAGACTTGCATGCGCGTCTAAGGACGATCATGTGAATAAGATTTGTCTCTCATAAGCCAGCTTAGCATACCTTGATGCTATCGACGGGGAACATGACGGCGTGCTCCGATATGCCAGCCTGTTTCAGGAAGTCAGCGATCGTCGCGAGAAAGCATATCGCATGCTGAGAAGGGGGAAACGTACCATCGCGCCCGCCAGCATGTGCACCCCCGTTCCCACCCCCATTGGCAACGCCTCGTACTCTTCATCCTCTACAGCCATGGGCGGGGGTGGCTGAGGAGGAGGGCTGGTCTTGTATACGTGGAGCTGCTCTTTCTCCCCACCCGATACTCCGACTTCGGATGATTGCAGATCCAGTTTCAGGATAGGGAGGCGACGTGTCGGTGATAGTGGCGTGTCCCAAGGGTCGGACTCTGTATCCGATGACATTAGCTTTCTGAGGGCGCGTTGGACCCGTTATGTTGGGGAATCCCGCTCACTGTTTGCGGTGGGATATGGTCGCTGAAGACGACAGGTAAGTCGGTGGCGACAACGGAAGAGAGGATTATTGAGGAAGGTGAAAGTGAAGGGGAGAGGGGAAGTGTTCGGCCGCGGGGTTTGGCTGTGCGACCACTGTCCATATTACTTAGGGACGATTTTTAAACCGGACGGAAACAATCGGCCGGCCTGATAAGATGGCTACGCCGCATTCCTTCACCTCGTTCTCCACGGTAACTCACTCTATCGAGGGGATGTTAACCCCTCTGCTATGTAATATGTTTTCTTATTCCATTTGTTGCCCCGTTTCGCACTGGTCGGATTGAAAACTGGAACCGCTGACTGCTGCTGCGCAATGTGTAACCGTGTGTGTAACCTGTGTCATCAGTTCTTGTCTGCTCCCTCACCCCTCTGTCGAGACGCCAGCACTTTTGCATCATGTTCGTACACGTCCCTGAAGGCACATGTTAGCACTTGCCACGTCTGGACATAGCACACCCACTTCATCTCCCACTGTGATTATCTGATATCAGCAACTATCACAACCGGAGGGGCGGAAATCGCTCACCGGATAATCGAACCATTTGTCTGGAATTTCTTGACCAGCAAAGTACATAATATCATCTGGAAGTTTTTCCGCTTTTGGCTTGATCTTGTTGTGTACTACACGTGCGATGAGCACAGAACGGGAAGGGAGACGACCAAGATGAGAACAGTTCGCTTCTAGCCGCCAGCAACGAGCACGCACCTACGAAGACAGCAAACTTGGGCCGTTTGGCTTCCTGCTCTTCTTTGGGCATGTGTGCGAGTGCCTGTTCTACATCCTTCTTCAGTTCTGAAATAGCATAATACAGCGTCCTTCCAGAGTCATCAACTTCGTCCTATCCGCAGGCTCAGAACGCTGGACAGCAGACGGTATGCCGAAACCAAAGCGCACCACAATTAAGACTCTATGTCCCAAGAGTGCCTGCATGTCGCCTGCCAACCATTGCGTCTTCACGACCTCCACCCCTTGTTGCTCCGCTGTCGTCGTTGGCAAGGACTCATACAAGCTTAGACCGATCGCCTGGATAGGAATATTACGTTTGCTCTTGGGGTCCTTCAGGAACGTTCTCTGCGGCAGCATCAGCCGTTGGGAGGATAATCAGATGGAAACTGCGTACCATAACACGTGCGGGGAAGAAACCGCTGCATGCAGGTTTAATGTTCGGGGTTTGCTTCGGAGCCGAGGATCACTTACCCCCCTCCTAAATATATGCGCATAAATTCATCCAACAAGGGACGTGTAAATGAGGAACAGACGAACCGATAGCCACCATCATGTCAGGCGCGAATTGCTTTCTAATTCGATCCGCCGCTTTCCCAATAATCTATCTCGCATCATTTTAGTCGCGCGACCAAAGGGTGAAAAGACTGCTGCAGCGCACGGTATGAATCTCGTTGTACGTCGCACCAATGTGAGGTTGGTCGGCCATCTTTCACCTTATGCGTTGCCTTGTCGTAAGCTTAAAGGGGATGGTCGTAGAGAGGCAGATAACAGACGAACAACTAGATAAGAAACGCTGGACGACGTCTACGTGCGGAGGTTGCACGCTGACGGCGCGTACAGCGGACCCTTGCCGCAAGACAGCCTCCCCGTCACCGGAACCGTATCTCTCAGCAGTGCCTCAGTGCCCTTCCTCTCCAATTCCAACCCCTGGCGTCACAGTTTGGCCCCCTGACCGTCGATTAGCGCCTGGAGACCGAACGAGCCCACGTTGAACAACTGAATTGACCAAACGATCGACGAAGTGTCTGTGTGGCCAACCAGGGGAAGGTGCTTGCCTTCTGTCCCGTGCGTGTGGCAACGCTAATAATATCAGACAGCGCAACCAAGTACTCAACTCATCCTTTCCTCTCTTCTTCCACCAGACCCCTACCCCGCCAACCAACATGCCTGTCGTGACTTTACCACTGACATTCTCCAACTCTTTCTGGACTCAAGATTACCGTCATGGGCTTGAACACCTATATGGAAAGCTTCAGCAGGTCAGTCTCCAGCGGCTATGACGCGTACACCGAGAGGCTCAGTCATTTACAGGGCGTCGGCGAGAATGCAGAAATTATTGCCTTCATCAAAGTGGGACACACACTCACTATTTCCAATATTATCTCATAATGTTCGCAGGCCCGTATCACCGCTGAACGAGGGATTGCAAGCACTCTCACGAACCCCGCTTTGACCGGCTCTCGAGGTGCCGGTTTTGGCGCCGACGATGGCGCTTCCTTACTCATGGCCTTCCGTGGTTTGCAACGCGAGTCCTCTCTGCAGGGCGAGGCGCACTCTACTGTTGCGAAGGACCTAGAGACCCTTGTACTCGAACCTTTCGAAGACTGGGCTGCAGGGCACGGTCACCGAGTGGCCGAAAGTCGGCAGTATCTGCTCGACAGTGCTGTCAAGTCTTACGAATATGCATCTGGTGATGTGCGCATATAGTTTGTCCAGTTGATTTCATACTTATCTGCGTGTCATAGGTCGCCAAGTTGAAGCAATTGTATATCACGAGGACCAGGGCAGCAGATGAGGCCGAAGACGAGTATGCCAGGGTCCATCGTCTGTGCAATACCAAGCTTACACTGCATTAGCATTAAGTTCGCTCCAAACAGCGGGAAAGACGACAAGTTCACTGCCTCGCCAACCGGGGCTATCAATCGGCATGCAAGTGTTACAGACCGTATCCAGCAGAGACTCCGTGAGAAGATGGGTAGTGCTCCGCTTGCGGAGGTCAAAGAAGACGAGGAGGAGCAGGAACTGCCGTCTCCGCCGAGATTCACTACTGAGGAGAAGGGCAAAATGAAGGAGCTACCTGTCGATACGGAGACACCGAGCCGGCAGAGTACAGTCGTCGTGCCCTTGACGCCAGCCACGCGGCGAAACAACGAGCCTATACTTCTCGCGGGCATCGCTTTGCCGCCTGTCGCCGTATCTGCTCTCCTTGCTCGTGCTCGGGCTGAATTGCCTATGCAGACCGTGAAGATCCCTATTTTGGGGGATTATGAGGAATGCTTCACTGGCGAGGATATCACCAAATGGTTGCGGGAGAATGTCGAGGCGTTTGGTGGTAGCTTGGACAGGGCAGAAGATGCCGCTCGTGATCTTGGTGAGCGTCTGGGAGTGTGGAGACGCGTTGGTGCCATTGGTGAGTATATTCTTATCTACGTTTACATAGCTCATCTTACCGGATGTTTAGGGAATAAATTTGAGCCGATAAAGACGGCCTTCTACCAATTCCGACCCAAGGCATTTATGCTCTCAGAGGAACCTGAAGGCGACAGCGTTGTTTCGCCCACGCTGACATCTGGCGCTAGCAACCTCATGAAGCGCTCCGGCACTGTCGCTTCCTACATTTCATCTGCCTTCGGTCAGCCGAATGATCGCTTCCAGACGTTACGGGCCGAGGCAGACAAGGCCGATCATGCATATGCCACAGCAGTTCGCAACCTTGAAAAGCAGCGCTTGGATCTGGAGGAAAGGATCGAACACGGCCTGAAAATCATCCAAGGGTGGGAGATCGAACGCCTTCGTGCCATCAAGACGGTGTTGCTTCAGTATCAAGGGACACTGGCGACGCTCTCGCAAGGCTTGCAGACATCTTTCGATCGCTCTTCCACCCTCGTCGCCTCCTACAAACCTGAGGCCGACCTCACCGCTATGATCGAGCGTTACCGCACTGGTCCTTTCCGACCCTCTGCTCATGTCTACGAATCGATTGCGCACGTCGGACCAGGTAGTGTGTCATTCGGCATCGATCTGGGTAACTGGGCGGGAGAGGGAGGCTGGAATGCCCTGAGAGGCAGTGACGATGAAAATAAGTCAAAGCCGCCAGTTCCCGGTGTTCTGACTGGTCTTCTGGCTGGGCTGGAAGAGGCATACGGCCGTCTGCCCTCGGATGATGGTAAGTCAGCGCCCTATCCGTTCTCTATGCATATTTGACAGTACCTGCAGAACGCCGCAAAACTTGGATCTATGATGTTCCACTACGCAGTATCCACCAGCTTCGTGACAGTTTGATCAGGTTCCTGCCCGACGACGCCCCCCCACTTGACCTGCTGGCACGTTTCGACGCCCCGGTGCTGGCTGGTACTGTGAAGCTGTGGCTTCTCGAGCTGAACCCTCCTCTCGGCTCTTGGGAGGGATGGGATGACATCCGCAAGATCTATCCCAACGGTGAGTGCTTTGACTGTCGCGAAGGTACCAAGGTCTCTGACAATCGATGCAGTAGGTGCCACAGAGCAGGAGGCCGTTAATGATCACACAGACGAGTTAAAGCAAGCTCTGGGTCACCTGCCGAAAGTTTACCTGCAGACACTCGATGCCCTCATAAGGCATTTAAGGAAGTGCGTACCCTCTTCCCCATCGGCGAGACCACTGAATAACATTTTGTTAGCTTGATCGTTAACACCGAGACCGCAGAGGCTGATGATGTCTACAAGACGAAGTTGGCGTTGACCCTTGGACGATGTGGGTCTCCATCCAATCCATACCGCGATAGATGCTCATGATATGCAGCCATTCTGAGACCGAAGCACGAGAACGAACTATCGATCCAAGATCGTCATCCTACCCTGTTCTTCATTGATGTGCTAGATCATTACGCAGAGCTCCTTCCTCCTGTTATTGCAAAGAAGCAGCGAGAGTCTGTCATCCGTGCCATGCCCATGCGCAAGAGGACGGCTCCGATAGATCAGCGTCTGTCTCGCAGTAGCATGACGGGGAGCGAAGATGTCCAGAAACTACTCGCAGCCCAACTGAACATGCGTAATCCTCGATCCAGGCCCTCCAGTCCTGTGCGAGGCGATCATCCCCCTATCTCTTGGGCTGCTGGAGAGGAGGAAGACCCCAAGATAAAGCCAGGTGAGACGCACGAGCATCCGGAAGAACCGACAACTGCGAAGGAGCTTGAGCACGAGCCGATCCACGAGGAGCTGGACCTTACACTACATATCGCAGCACCTATCATTTCTATTGAGCAACCCAGTCCTGCCGTCGGTCCCAGGGAAATAGACAATGAGCTACCAGCTCCTGTTGTGGAAACAACCCATGAAACTGCACCTGCAGTCGTTCCAGCCCTGGATGACGAAGACCAACCCATCTCTCGCGGGTCAAGCGGATTGACAAGAAACACATCGGGCGAGCTTTCCCGTCGCGGTGTGCGGGCCCGTGGTCCTCGTGTTGCCGGTGGGAGAAGAATGGTCTCATCTGAGCAAGTTCCATCCTCAGAAGCTGCCCACCCTCACGGTCCGATCGACGCGAACGAATACGTGCCGCGCAAGAAAGGTGGGCGCGGTGCAGCTGGTTTGTTCGCCAAGCGGGATGGAAAGGGCGGGATGAGCGGGGACGAAGGGGAAGAAAGTGGTTAAGAGCGAGTTCGAAACGGTTCCCATTCTAATATATCGGCGACAGGAAAATATCCAGAGGACGCTCGCTTATTTTTTTCTCGCTACTATAGTTGCTATCGAATTTTATGCTGGATATAAACCGTGAGACAACCGTTTGATATTCTTTCCTTCCCTCCACTACACTACCCACGAATGTGACTGCTGAACCTGGCATTCACTGTCAGTAAGAGAATCAATGATATGTGAATTGATGAGAAAGAGTCAGACAAGGCAGAGACGCTGTCGGAACGACAACGCCCCCGTTAGGTAGCTGAGATAGGTTTCTGCAGTGCGGCAAGCCGCATAAAGCCAAATGCCTCAAGGCATCATACACAAAACGACATATGAATGACACTCACCATGAAGTAGAGATTAATTTCAGGGAGCGTGTAGAGAAAGACGGTAAAGGTTGGTGGAAGAGAGAAGAGAGTCGTGGCCGCGCTGAAAAAAGTACGAGCACGCGCTTTGGTCACCTATGAAAAGGATCCGCAATTCAGGGCAGGTCACGCCCCTTCACGCCACCCGCGTCTCCCTGACCTCTGACAATCACCTCGCATCAATGTCCGACGCGCCGACTCCTCAACCGGAGTCATCCAGCTCCAACCAGCTGATAACTGGTGCTCCTGGCGCTGCTGCGGCGCAGGAAACAGCGGCTGGCCCCAGCCAGACGCATACGAGGAGGGAAGAAGAGCTGGCGAGGAAGGACCGTACGCTCGCCGAGTTCATGCTCATGCTAGATGAATATGAGCCACTCGTGTGTCAAAGCTCTTACATAATGCTGCCTATAGTGTTGATATGCCTGTCAGATTCCAGCCGAAATTACTGATTACTACCTGCAGCAAGTCGGCTTCGAGTGCCACGATGTTCGATTGTACGTGTGCTGCGAGCTGGTTGTGTCGCCTCGCTGACTTTCATGAACAGAAAGCGGTTGATATCTCTCGCTGCACAAAAATTCATCGCAGACATCGCTTCAGATGCCTTTCAGCATGCACGTATACGGACAAATGCTGCCCCAAGTCGGTTGAAAGCAAGCTTTGCGGGCACATCAGCCAGGGTGTGTCTCCTCCAAGTCTCTCGTGAATGTTTGTCTGACACAACACACAGAACGATCGCACACGCACCGTCCTCACTATGGACGACCTTAGTGCTGCATTGGCAGAGTATGGTATCAACACAAAGAAGCCCGAGTTTCATCTGTGACTGTGACTCTGTCGACTCCCAGGACCCTATGTATGATCTCATTGTAGACTTAATCATGCCTGCTTATTTTCACCTGTATGCAACTGTACGGAATTACAACCCCAGTCGATTGGATGGATTACTTATGGGAAGCTTGTGACCTTCTCCACGCCGGGCGGGAAGGTGTATTTGCCCTGCTTGCGAACCTCGTCGAACACTTCCATCTCAAACAGCGTCTTCTCGAGAGTCCAGACGTCGCTGGAAATCTTACCATCCCTGATGCAGCGGGCGACCTCATCCGCCTGGAAGTGCCATCCACCGCCCTCGAACTTGAACACCCGCTTCTCCTCGCGGATGACGTTGGAGGTGCCAGGTGCAAACTCCTGGACGACAACAGTCGAAGGCTTATAGATCGGAGGATCGATGCTGATCGTCCCGTTCGCACAGCGGATGTGTACCGCGGGCACAGATGAGGGCAGGTTGATGCTGCACGACAGGATGGCCTGTGCGGGGATATGGTCAAAGTCGAGCACAATGACTGTGTTCTGGTCCACCCCGGTTAGAGGAGTCTTCATCATCGCACCAGTGATGGAGGTGGGGCGGCGGTTCTGGTTCTTGGGATACTCAAAGAGGGAGATGATGAGCCATACGAAGGGATACGGGCCGCTGTTAGACCGTCAGTATTCGAATGACGACGGAGTGGATATGAACAGACAGATCAAGAAGTGCACCACCGCCAAGCTTGGGATCGAGGATACGGTGGGTCTTGGGGATCTCTAACAACAGGTGAGCGCGCTCCCATGAAAAGGAGAGATGACAAACGATCGAGCTTAAAGTCGCCCGCAAGGTCAGCAGTCCTGGATCCCCGTAAGTCATCGTACTTTCGAACACGACAAAAGAAATTTACACCAAACGCACAGGCCCCAGCTTATCCTCAGCCACAATCTGCTTTACAAACTCGGCCACAGGCTGGAAGCGTGTCCACATAGCCTCCATAAAGAAGAGGTTCTTCTCCTTTGCGAACGCGACAAGTGCTTTGAACTCGGCGGCATTAGACGTGACAGGCTTCTCGCACAGGACGTGCTTGCCCCCCTTGAGGGAGATCATAGAGTGCTCGTAGTGGTACGTGTGCGGTGTGCCTGCAGGGCCTCAGTATGCGCATCAAACCATCTGTGTAGAAAACCAGGACAAACCGACGTAGATAGCGTCCACCTCCGGGTCAGCAGCGACCTCTTCATATGAGCCGTACACTTTCACACCCGTAGAGTGGGGTGCGTTCTTCTCCGCAAATTCGCGCCCTTTGGCAACGTCCCGCGAACCCACGGCCGCGAAGGTGTGGATGACATCTTCTACGCCGCGCCTGCATAATTCAGCTCATGTTGGCAGGGAAAGAGAGCAGACTTACGTCTTCGGGTCCAGGACAATATCCTACTCCCATTAGAATCAGTCCTGTTCCTGTCCGTGGCAGCCCAGAAACGCACCCTAACGAAACACCCCGAGATCCAGCCAGCGCCGATAACTCCCCAGCGAATCGTTATCGGTTGCTTTCCAAGGACGGCTTGAACTGCAGCGGCCATATTCAGTTCCAATGTATTTGACCTTGTGCAAGGAGATAGACGGTCGCGAGATCAACGGCCAGCGTGCATGCCTATCCGGTGGTCCTACTTTATGTAGTTGCCCCGAACCGTCGGGCTCCACCGGCCAATGGCATCATTCAACGAAGCCGCCATGTCGGACCGACCCTGAATTTCCGGAGGTGTGGCCATATATGGAAAGTCGAACGTAGTATCATTATCGCGTTCATTGTCGGAACAACAATAACATCAAACACTGCTGTAACAGAAAAACACCACCATACAAAAGTGTTTACTCTAACTTGATCACACCCTCCGCCTCGCGCTTGATCTCCCTACCCTCCAGCTCCCTCAACAAGACGTCCACATCCGGAGCCACGACAAACCTGCGTTCCACCTGACCCAGAGCCGTCAATTCCCTTGTCTGGGGGTCGAGATGGACAAGCGTTTCGAGGAACGCTGTTTCTGCTGCTGGGTGCACCTAGAAACCTAAGTCAGACAGCGCAGGAGAGGAGGGAGGAAAGGAGGGAACGCACTTCGAGGGCGATGTCTTCTCCTAGGACGATCCTCACTCTCCCATCAGCGAACAGTTCCATCTTGCCAATGACCCCATCCACAGGGATTGGCTTTCCCTTGCCCACCGATCCAGTTCCCGTGGAAGTCCCGGGCTTGCGTTCGTGCTCTTCATGCTTAATACCAGAGGAGAAACGGACTTGTTTTTCCCCTCCAGCAGTTGCACTCTCACCCTCCTTCCCTTTCCCCTTCCCCTGATCAGGTGCGTCCTGACCGGCATTCCCTTCAGCATCAGCATCCGCCATTTCCACATCAACGTCGACGACCTCCCCAGGCGGAGGGAAGAAACTCGGAAATGGCTTAGGAAATTGGAAATAGTATATCTTCTCCTCGCCTAGCTGCGAGACCATCCCTCCATCCTGCATCCCATCTCCTGCTGACTCAGGGAGGAAATCAAATAGTACGTCATCCTCTTCTTCTTCGTCAGAGGAGGAGAGATCGAGTGCTTGACCGCCTGGGGGAGGGGTGTCGGGCTCTATCGTCGGGCGCGCTGAGGAATAGAGGGACGCGGTGGAGTCAGGTTCAGGTTCAACTTTCGCTAGAAGAGGGATGAGTATAGTCTTTCCCAGAAGAGAAAGGGCGAACCTCTGAGCTCTCCAACCCTCTCTCTCCGCTCGATTTTCATCTTCTCCCTTTCCGCCCGGCCAAGTAATCTAACCTTCTTCAAAGCACTAGGCGCGCTCTCATCCAACCCTTCCACAGCATCAAGGTCTACGATCTCCACCTCTTCATCAGAGTACTGTTCCGCATCGGCTAAGACCACAGCGCTGCGTTTTCCTTGTGCTTGATACTGGGGATTAAATCCACCGGAGAGGGAGCTAGGGAGAGGGGTAGGACCTACGCCCCGTGGACGAGGGCGGGAGGAAGATAGTAGTGCGGAAGGGCCGAGCGCGAAGGGACCGGAGGCGGTCATGAGCAGCTCGCCTCGACCTGCTCCAGGGGGAGCTCCACGCCCTCGACCGCGGCCACGGCTCTGATCGGCATGACCACGAGATGGACCTGATGTTGGGGTTGGCTAACAGCTGTTAGTGCGGATCGAGGGTGACGAGGAGTGCTTACAGGTTTGACATCTTCCACTCTTTACCGTGCTATCAGACACTAAGCAGGCATACAATAGGATAACTCACTCTCTCTTAGGCCTGCTAGTAGGCAGCTTGGGCATGAACTTCAACTTGGTCACTCCTGCGCGGATATCCTCAGGTTTTTTGGCCATGTTCGCGGCTGGCGGCCTGTTCGTTGGTGGGTCATGCAGCGTCCCGATCACACGAGGTGTTGGTAATGGGATTTCTGGATTCGAATCTGCAGTTGCGGCAGGTATTGTCCTTACAGGCCTAGGTTTGCGTGTAGGAGCGGACATTAGTGACGGGTAAAGAGGAGTGAAATGTGACAATACAATAATTTACACTTTCAGGGTCGAACAAGCGCTCAACGGACGCTTTCCTTCCACCATCATGGACGACGAAATGCCAACACTACCCATGCGAGATTCTCTATTACAACAACTAGATATCCTTACAGACTTGTCGTTCTCCCTATTCTCATCTCTCGCTTCGTCTTCTACATCCACAGCAAATGTCGACGCAGCACCGTTCCTACAGGTGGAGAAACGCACAGCAGCATTCCTTCGCTGGGCGCGTGTGCATCAGCTCAGATGGAGGAAGATCGAGAGGCTGAGAGAGGAAGTCAAGAGCTTGGAGAAAGAATTGGGGGAAGCACTGGGAGCGCTGGAACGCGCAGGGAGCGGGTTGGGGGAGATGTTGAGGGAAGGAGAAGGGGAGGAGGCAGATATTCGGAATGCGGAGGACAGTGAGTGGACTTTTTTTGAAATTCACACATGTCCATTGGCTTTGGGTTTAAGGAGGAAAGTGCAGCTCACGATATTTCAGATCCGATACCCTACGAAGAACTCATTTATTACGCTCAACACCTAGCGGGATTCACCTCCCTGCCCCCCTCCTTCCCACCTTACCGCCTCTCGGCTGACGCAAGCACAGAAGACAAGCCGCCGTTTAACATGCATGTCCCTACGACGGAGATGTTGAGACGGGGACGGCTGAGTGCGTTAGGCGGAGAGGCGATGAGCTTGTGGGGCACTAGTGGGGAGGTAGGAGTTGGTACGTTCCCTCTCTTTGTGGTACCCTTAGTTCTAGCGGGCCACCTCCATGTGCTAGACTATGTCGTGCTGACACGTTTTGTAGCGCCCGACCACCCACAGCTCCCCGACGCCCAAGCAGAAGCACATAGCCATGCCCAAGGGCCAACAGCCCCGATCGCAGGCAGGCAGGCGCATCGTCCAGCTGCAGCAGAGGTCTTCAACGACTTGGATCTCAATTTGGATTTGTAGTGCGAAGGATGGAAGTCAGTTCGGTTGTGGGGTTGTGTGTGTGCAAGTCAATTTGTATGTCTAATGTATATGCGTGTATTTGTATCTGTTCAGCACTGAAGTCTGCACTTGCGCCGAGAAAGCCTATCCTGCGTGATTGATTGAAGAACCAGAGCTCAGTCGTTGCCCTTATTAACAGACGTCCAACTCATGCAAGAAGTCTCGCTTTACAACAGAACCGGTCACGATAACAGTTGAAGATCATGGACACATGCATTACGCGTCATAATTGCATAGCATGTATGTCTGGCATCCTCCCCACGCAGCGAGCCCAGCCCAAACCTACTCAGAAGAAGCCTTGACCTTCTTGCTTGCTACCGTTCCCTCCCTGCCGCAGGATCAGTCATTGCCCGCACCATCCATGAGAAAAAGAGACCCACCTGAACCCGTTCTTAAACCTCCTGCTGACACCCTTGAGGTAGCTCATCCTCCCAGTGCCAGTCGTCTTTCTCCTCTTGGCCTTCTGGCCCCACTCATATGAACGGAGCTTAGCTGAAGGGTAACCGCAGGATGCGCAGGCTGCAGCGAGTTAGTTCAGGGTGCACAGTAGTGGAGAAGATAAGAAAGCACGCACTCTTGTGCTGCCTGTGGAAGGCACGGTTGCCGCAGCGTCGGCAGAGTGTGTGCGACTTTGTGTGCCGCTTTCCGAAAGAGGAGGTACCTTTCGTCTGTGGAGAATATCAGTTTCTGAAAGTTGACACCTGGCGGTTCGGGATGGAGGGTAGAGAGGGAATATCAGAGGACATGGATGGTGTAGAGGGTAACGCAGGCAATGTGTGGGCATGAGCAGTTGTACATGACAGGCAACAACCGCGCAAAGCAGGCGCCGTTGCGATCGCCGACCACCACAAACAACTGCAGCGGTCCTCCTCACACGACAAACCCCCTCCTACACCATCACCTTATCCCCTAACTCCCCTCTCTCTATCCCCCCAAACCGTCGAAAAGACTGCTCTCACCATCCTTGGATTTTGTTGTCGATGTCGGTGTCGGTCGGTGACTGTCGAACTCGAATAGTCCTTACACCTTTCCCTGCATCTGTTTGATCCCGTTGAGTGCAAGGGTGCGATACAGTACTTTAGGGCAGGTTGATTTCAGCCACTGAGTTGCTCCCGCAAGGATATCAGTGGCGGTGTCCATTACAATCACGTGATTCAACAGCTTGGGAAGTCATGCACGTGACCCTGTACTGTGCGCGTCTGAATCCGCGCTGTAGCCACCAAACCTCGTGCGACGCGTTCGCTGCTCATCGTCCTTGCAGGCCTTTGTCAACATCCATCACCTTCCCCTCGTCGTCCACATCAACACACAATGCCGACAAACGAGAACAAAGTACGTTCATTCCTTTCTCTATCTTATCTGTCTCTGACAACCCCTAGCCGCTGGGCGCTGGTTCCCGTCTCCCGCGACCCGCTTCCTCACCTGACAAACCACCCCCCACACTCTCAACAAAGCGCAAGGCTGACGATGACGGACAGTCCAATCGCGTATCCAAGGCACCTGCGCTGGGGACAAGCATTACCAACCGTCCCGCGGGCTTACGTGCTTCTCGTGCTGAGCGAGGCTTCGTCCCTACATCAAATGCAGCCGCCAAGAAGAAACCTGAAAGGGGGCTCACGATCCCTAGGGCACCTGCACTGACTAAGACTTCGGCAGAAAAGCTTGCTAGTCAAAGACAGCTGAGCCAGACGGCTCGCACCCGTCCTCCGTCTGTCGAGCCTCGAGCGAGGCAGGCAAGTGGACCGGGCTCAGCAACAGGAGGATCGAAGAGCAGTGTACTGGCGCGAGCGGTCGCGAGCCCTCCACCGGACGCAATGATTTCCAATATTCTAGAAGAACTCAAGAATGAAGTGCGATCGAACCGTGTTGAGAGTACGTCCTTTCCCACGTCGGAATCGAGGTGCTAATGGCAGCGTAGTGGCTTCATTCAAGGCCTTCAAGGATCAGCTCACAGTGGAGCAGCTCACTACCATCCGGCAAGCTGAGGCTGACGTCGGGAAGCAATACCAAGCTTCCACGGCCGAGCTTGAGTCCCTGCGCTCTGCGCACTCTCGCGAACGACAGGACTGGGAGATTGAGCGCATGAAGCTTGGCCGCGAACTCCGGGAGGTGCGAGAAGACCTGCGTGTAGCGCGGGATGATCTTGGAAGGGAGAGGGAGACGTCTAGCGCTCTGAAACGGGCGATGGCGGAGCAGAGTAATCACCACTTAACGCTGGAGACGCAGGTGGGAGGCCTGCGGGGGCAAGCAATGCGTTTGCAAGAGGAGATCAGAGGGAAGGAAGGTAGGATCGGGGAGTTGGAGATCATGCTCGAACAAGCTAGGCAGGTGGTATTGGACAGAGAGCAGGAGCTTAGAGATGCCGAGGCATTGAGACGGAAGCTGCATAATACTGTTATGGAGCTCAAGGGGAACATCAGGGTGTTCTGCAGAGTTCGCCCGATCTTGCGTGAGTTGTTTGCCATGAGGAGGAGAAAGGGCTCATGAGGACCTAGCTCATGAGACTGAGAATGACGAGGGGATGGCTTTGATCAGTTTCCCTGGCAAGGAGTGCAGGGAGATTGTCCTTTCCCAGTCCTCAGAGACTGCCACAGGCGCGTCAAGAGAAGCAGTCCTGCCCTTCAGCTTTGATCGTGTATGCCTTTTTTCCTCCCTCTTTCCAGCATCTCACCCTTCTTCAGGTCTTCCAACCCCAAGCTTCTCAAGCCCAGGTATTTGAAGAGATCTCGCAACTCGCACAGTCCTGTACGGACGGGTACAACGTATGCATCTTTGGGTATGGCCAGACTTCTTCCGGCAAGACATACACCATGGAAGGTGGCACGGCAGAAGAGGCACAGGGAATGATTCCCCGAGCGGTGAGGCAGATCTTCGAGGTGACGGAGGAGTTGGCGAGAAGGGGCTGGAAATATAAGATGGAAGGCCAGTTTTTGGAGATTGTAAGACCCCCTTTTCATCTTGGGATACTGAATACTGATGGGGACCAGTACAACGAGACCATCAATGACCTTCTTGGAGTGGGCGAATTGGACAAGAAGCATGAGATCAAGCATGAGAAGAACGGCAGGACGACCGTCACAGATGTTGTCATTGGTGAGGTAGCTCTCAGCTCAGACTGCACAAAGCTAAGACAGACCAGTACCATTGGAGTCGCCTTCCCAAGTGCGCACACTGCTCGCCCGTGCCCAGAGTCGGCGTACGGTGCACGCAACCCTCATGAACGAACGCTCATCCCGCTCTCACTCTGTCTTCACCCTCCGCGTAAGTGGGACCAACCCACTCACGGGCGAGTTCTGCGAAGGCTGTTTGAACCTTGTCGACCTTGCCGGCTCAGAGCGTCTTGCCACGAGCGGGGCAGCGAACGATAAAGACCGGCTGAAAGAGACTCAGGCGATCAACAAGAGCCTCAGTGCGCTGGGCGACGTTATCGCTGCTCTGGGCGAGAAGGGAGCGGCGGAGAAAGCCCATATCCCGTACCGGAATTCGAAGTTAACATACTTGCTTCAGAATTCACTCTCGGGGAATTCCAAGACACTTGTGAGTGCACCTTCACCGGTTATTACGTGTGGTTGACGCTGACTGGATATGAAGATGATGCTCAATTTGTCACCACTTGCCGCCCATCTGAACGAGTCACTGTGCTCTCTGCGCTTCGCAACCAAGGTCGGTTGACGCAGCAAGATCCGCCGAACTGAGCTAACACACTGCAGGTCAACAACACCCAAATCGGCACTGCTCGCAAACAACAGGCTCGTGTCTCTTCATGATATCACCCTCCCTCTCCCTTCTCTGTCTATTCGTGGAAGGACATGACATCGTCTGATGGGCCGCTCTCCTTCCTATCACCTTGGAGGCGGTGTGCCTGGTGAGATTGTTTTTGCTATCGTTGCGTACCCTTGTACTATTCGGCAGTGCCCGACTATTTTTCTGTACAGCGCCTATCGCGTCACATCGTGATTATTTTGTACACCCTCACGGGTCAAGGACAAACGTGTTCACAACATTCCAGCCCTCGGTGCCTACACCCGTTGCTCGCGTTGCCACGGTGAACATCCTTACTGTATCGAGCTCGGTCCCGACTTTCCAAATTTGGAGTGAAACTGTACACTCCACATCTCCTAAACCTTACACGTTCTGTGATGGCCCTTGAAACACAATTCTCTTCTGAGAAACTTCGGCAAAAGGCCAGATAGGGAAAACCTGTACCATTTGCGTGAGCTTTCCCTCGGTGCCAATCGTGCGCAAACAAGAACAGGTGTGCGGATCCGGAAAGTGGTAACGAGTTCTGATGTTTTCTGGTGGGGTGCGGAACAACTTTGCTTCTACGCCCAGGACTGGTCGTCGGAGATTATGGGCGGCAGAAGCAAAAGTGCACCTCTGGTTTTCCACTCGTTCTTGAGTGCGGTGACGCATAAGGGAATTTTTTTGGACTTGCTTTTCTTCAAACAAATCAGAGATTCGTCCTGTCCGCCTAATCTTCTCCGCGTTTCGCACGAAAGTCAGTGGACGCTGACATACTTAGCAACCGTGAACTTGTCGGAACAGTTCCGAAAGTGGAGTTGGAATTACCGCCCTCTCCCTCTCCCAGAAAAGCAACACCAATGCAATTTCCGCACTCCTCGCTCAGTCAGCAAACGATGAGCTCATATGTTAGGTCAACTCGACCGGGCATGACGTCGGCCCGATGCCGAACGGCTGTTGTGCGGCCTCGCAGCGACTGTAATGTATGACGTTGCTAGGTCGGCTTCGGAACTACAGACAGCTGATACTGACGAAGCACTGACATCACAAGCATGTCAGAATGACATGCTTCGGCCGAGATAATTCACCCCGTAATATCCAACGGCCCGGCCCCAACATTGACTCATAATAGCTTTCATTTTTCGGTAAACAGACTGGGCAGTTTCAAAAACCGGGAGCGGTCGTCCAGCACGTTCGTCTATTGTAAGCGAGTCATTTTCCCGGGAGAGCTAATTGCTGCAAAGACACAATCTGGACCATCTGTGCCAAGATGCCGAGATAAGCCCGCAAGGGCATGGGACAGTCATCTCGTCCCGATTTGAGCGGCCCTTGATTGCAAGGGAAAACACGTTCGACAGCAAGGTGCGGGTGCGTTCGGAAATGTGGAGAAACAAGCGCTGCAGGCTGGTCGAAGGTACAAGGCACGATCTTTACACACGGACATTACAGGTAATATACAGAGATAGCGATGGAACAAGCCCCAAAAGTAACAGAAGTCCAAGCGAAAGGTGAACCATGATAATGTCTAATGACCCAGCCGCCTGGTCTTAGACAGTATGTAAGGGTCAGGTTTACGGCAGGTCTGGGCTGGTACGCCCCTCGACCTGGAGGTGCCAGGCGAGTTTCCCCGAGGACCGGGGCGAGGGCACGGAGGGGAGCCAGCCACCCAGTCCAATTCCCAAACCTACCTTGCCTTCTAGGGATGGTCGACCAGCCACCGGAGAAATTCACTCGTAGTCGTGTTCACTGAGGTGAGAAGTGTTGGCTGCGGAGAGTCGCGCTTCCTCTTGTTGCTTAGCAAGCATCTCTTGCTCTGCCTCTTCGCCTTCGACGATTACAGCCCATACAGAAGCTTTGAACTGGATTTGGATCAACTATGACGGGTGTGGATCGGGAGGACTGGTGGGACATACCAGCGTTAAGACAAGTCCCATTTTACGCTCCAATACGCGTAATTGTGCTAGCAACGACTCGTTTGACCTTCCGCCTAGTTCTTTCGTGATACCGGACAGCTGAGTATATGCGTCGATCAGCTGAAACAGGAGAATAAGAAATGCGACGCACCTTGCGAATCAGACGCGCCGTCTTAGCATACTCCCACAGTACCTCACCTTCCAGTGAGCTCAGCTGTGGATGAGATGCATACGGATTCTGCACGAGGACAGCGTCGTCCTGCGCCGTAGAGACCTGTGTGCTCGTCGCGGTTGTCATTTGAGGAGATAAGGACGCGTGTGACGCGTCCGTCGCGTGGGAATGAAAGCGGGATTGAACGGGATCGGATTCGGAAAGTCAGCTGCCAGATTAGGAAGCGCGGAAGACGTGGGATGACGCTGATGCGCTCAGGTGAGCGCGTCAAGGAAGGAAAACACCACGCGACCCAACGGCGAAGCATGAACGGTGACGCACCGGAAGCGAAAAACAGGCAACGCGCCATTCTCCTCGCATCATCAACTACCCCAAGCCAACAACTACGGTAAAATAATATTTGCAACGAGGTATAGACTTGAGCAAAACATAATGATTAGCAAGACACCAAGTGAGTTGTTGACCGGTATGCTTAACACTGCCATACCCAGCAGCCCTTCCCTTCCTCTCCACCTTCTCCGCGCACTTTCACGCGCCCTTTCAGAAGTCACCGGAAACCCCGCTTCCATAAAGGGAGTCTTCCCGACCCCCGAAGGACACGCGCCCGATCCCGATTACCTCTGTCCTGTCTTGTCATGCGCTGATGTTGGATTGTCCGTTGACAGGTATGGGTGAAACAACAACAGCTGATACGTCTATCATTGGCCCGGTGGGTCATGAGTAACCTCTGTATTTGACACCGATGGCCAAGCTTCTCCCCGATTGGAGATGACAATGAGGTGTTTGACAGCTGATTGAGCAAATAACCACAACTGAATGTTCCGCGGAGGAGCAAAGTCGCTTCATCATCAACCCATAAGCTCACAGTACGAAGCAACTCAGTCGATTCTATTCTCGACGTCTTCCTGCCGCGTCGGACGGGGTCACACAAAAAGCAACTTTGAAACACACATGCAATTGCACCGCCTTGCCGTAGTGACCGACTCATGCAGAACGCTCGATTTATTTGTGTGCGCGTGATCAAGTGCTTTCCCGACTTTCTGTTAGCGCCCATGACCCTTGGGGAAAGCCGGAGTCCGGGAAAGCGGGGTCTGCTCGGCGCGCTGCGCTGATTCATTACAGTCAGTCCAGGGACATCGGATCATGAACTTGCGTAGCAGGGGTTAACAGATGGGTTTGTCAGCAGAAGTGATCAATGCACCTTGTTGTTGCGTGCCTCAGTATCAATGCAATAGTGGAACATTAATCGGCTCATCGTATTCAGTGCACTGCTAGACGGGGTACTTGGAAAATAAATCGCAGTTATCATGATCCCTTGTATGGGGATTGGGGAACATTTGGGGTGCATCTTTCGTCCGACACTAGCCCAACCGTCGGGGCACGTCAGTTGACAGCGCCTATGCTCCAAGATGTGTTGGTTGTGGTCGCTCAAAGGATGCGCGACACCACTACCGGGAGGGGCGTCGGGCGGTGGACAGATGGACTGTTTGCACGACAGAGGGTTTCTGATGTCGACAGTAATACATGTAGGACATTGCTCGGCCCGGCACAAAACGGGTGCGAGATACCGACCTCGGGCCAAGGTATTTCGCCAACCCGTTCTACTGAACCCTGACGATCCGGAGATTGTGAACCTGCGATGTGAACACCCTTAGGGCGCAAGAGCGGTGCAGAAAAAGCGGGTGCCTTGGAGCGGATGGTGATGCTGTGGGAACAAGCGCTTACTGAGCGCTGGATTATATTCGGGGTCACGGTGTGGCGCCAGGCTGTGCGGGACTGTGCGACTGTTGGTTGGGATCGCAATGAACCTCCGCCGAACACGGGCGATAGGCGCATACAAGGTGTGCTGTGTACTCGATTCTCTTGTGCATTGTATAGATGACAAGAGTTGCACAGGTCTTGTTGTGTTATTGGGCGGCGGCCGCGGAGAACTTCAACAAACGCCTGAGCTGACCAGCGCACGGGGCTTGAAAAAAAATAGCGGTTGCCATGGGCTGCATATGGGTGCCGAGTGAAACGGGATCAATTCTGGCCCCGGAGGATGACGTGGGGCGCGTGGCGGCGGAAGAGCGGTTGCCAGGGCCGAGCGAAACCTTAATGTGTTGCAGGTGAGATTTGATCCCGTGCTTATGGAGTATTCTGCCATGCGTTTTTTCAACAGCGCTGTCGGCCGCTCATCCGCCGCGTCGGTATCGTGTTGCTTGCCTCATTTCCACCTGCTTTCTACAGTCAGGCTTCCTGGCCTTTTCCACATTTGGAAATCTTCGCTCAATTTGCTCCCTCTCCCACTTTATAACCCCCTCTCCTCTCCCAACCCCAACCGCACTTCTCCTCCTCACCTCATCATCCCCCCTTCGCGCTCGACGTCCTCCACAACACGGATCCACAGCACACCATCCCACCTTCACCAAAGGAACAAGAGTCTACGATGATGGCAGCCTCTTCTCCGTCTAGGGCAGAGTACTCTCCCCTTTTCACCCAAGGTCTCTACTCTGCCAACCCAGCCAGCAGACGTCATCTCGAGGCAGCTGCTTCCTCCTCTTTCCTCGACGTCGATAGCCCATCCGAGTCGGGCGATGACACGGATGCTAGCATGGCTTCTTTCGTTGGTGTCCTTCGGTGCGTTGTATCATCTGTGTCGTCACCTACAGTGGTGCTGATGCAGCATATATGCAGCCCAAACAGCCAAGCAGGGCGCGCAGTATCCCCCACTCCAACGGTTCGCCCTATCACTGGTTTGTCTCGCCCCGTGCACTCCCGTCACGCATACATCCCCCCTCCGGCTCCAGCTCCCAACCACGCACTTCCTTCTCCGCCCCCCTCAGCTCCCTATGGCGCATCACCTGGTCGCGGAGCCCCGGTCCCCGGTCATGTTCGTTCTCCCACTGGTGCATCGTTTGGTCCTTCTCCCGCCGACGCACGCACAGCTGCTCTTGCACGGCTCGAAGGTCGCCCGGGCCCTCCAGCTCAACAACGTCCGCCACAGCTGCCTCAGCCGAACGGGTATGGTCAGCCACCTATAGGATCCAGCTTCCTCAACCTGAGCGACCCTCCGCAGGGACGTAGCCGAGTTCCGCCGCCTCGGCGCGGGTGAGGAATCGCACACTGAACCCAATCTGACGAACTCTGCACACTGCGCCTCATCAATATAATCATCATCAGCATCGTCATCGATGCTCTAAGTTTATCCGCGGAAGGTCCCCGCGATCGGCATACTATTACGACGCACCACCGCCCCTCTGTATTAACTCAATATTCGCCCGACTCAAACGATCATGTTGTTCCTGCATCCCACACAAGAGAGTCTACGCACGCATATTCCGCACGCCACGCAGCGCATCGGAAGGCCTATCATGCCTCCGCTCAGCTATAATGTCCGCGTCCGCAAATTCCACGGTTCCTGATTCGGCTTGACTCAACCCAATCGCCATTGCACCCTGCTTGTCTACCTTTTTCTGCTCATTTTCAGCCCCGCTCGATGTGGGCTCCTTGCATTTCCGTTCGCGTGGTTTCTTGCTGGCTGTACACTGCCCATCCCTTACCTCCTTATCATATCCCCATGTCCTGCCGTAATTCCTGTGCACGTTGACCGGTTCCACGCACTGCCCCGTACATGATTTTCCCTTTTGTTATTGTGTCACCACTTTTCCGATTTGCCGTCATACCTTGACGAGTGTGGCTTCATCTCGTGCTCTATCGAAGAGCACTACTATCGAACGAACCAGCGAACGCTGTCTGCTTCTCTTGCATCCCCTATCCTACATATGTATGAGGTGTTGTGTGTGGCGCTCGGTTTCCGCTTGCTGCCGACTTGGTAGCTTCTTGCCATGTGCTTTGTAGACGCCCTCTGCCATCAAATTGTCATCACCGCGCTCTGCCAGTTCTCCGCATGTTAAAATAGCCTAATGATCAATATACAAACTGAACTATTATTAATCTTCTTGCGTGTTCTCAGATCATTTGCCAGCATGTCACGCGAGAAGTCGTTGATATCAATACAGTGATGGTCACCAAGCCGTGGGATTTCTAATTGACAATCATCGCGATGATCATGAGCTGGTAAAAAGGCACTGCGTTCGCAGCAGAGCGAGTGGATGTCCCGGTCAGAGTGAGCATATAAATTATGAAACGAGTGCAGAACCAGCGCGTAGATTACAGCACTAGGCAGTGCATACACCGCACCAGCGCATAACCGGACTGCGCTGTCCGCGCAGAAGTCTTTGGGATAAACGAGTGACAGAAATATAGGCACAGGTACGTGTACAGTACATCCCACTAAAGAGAGATACCGTTCCGCCCGGGATCGTGTTCCTGATACCTGCAGATGGAAAGAACAGAGGAGAGAAGGTCACTTGAGAGGCCTCTGGGCCAGCTCAGGTCTAGCTGTATGATGAACAGAATCGGGGGTACCCGCCTTCCGCCCGGCCCGGCGGTATGAGAAATACTGCCCACCTTCCCACGGGTATCTTCTTCAGAGCTAGTCAACCGTAGGCGTAGGCGGTGTCCAGCTTCCCGGGGCGAACCCTCGCGGCCCCAATGTGTTGTCGAGCAAGCCCATGACCTCCAGCAACTTCTCTTCTTCCCACGGCCTGCCTACTACTTGCACGCCTATTGGAAGACCGGCCATTTTCTCTGGGTCGTACAGCTGGCGCATGATTCCCCTCAACAGGCGCATCCCCGGGTCTTGAGGCTCCTCTGGCCAGGTGTCTGTGGGCAGGACGCGGGTTACCGGAATGACCCCAGCAGGGAGAGAGAGGATGCTGTATAGAATTGCTGTGCCGGCCAGAGGAGAGAGTCGGGCAGTCGCGTTGTGCGGCAGGGCGGGCATGGAATGGACCGGACCGAGGATGATGTCGAATCCGTACTTTTCCCAGACCTACAGGATGACGTCAGTCTGAAAAGCGACCCGAGTTACGGTGAATGGGATTATTCTGACCTCTGTATGAAACTTCTGGACGAGCTCGTTCCGCCTGTGTACCCAGCGGTTAAAGTCCCGCACAGACTTGACTCTCAAAGCCTGGACAAGCGCTGCGAACTTCTGATCTCTCAGGAATCTTCTCAACACGAAACATGACATAGTCCTGATAATTGCTAGATATTGGGTGGAGTGTCACCGATTTCAGCACAACTTGTGTTCTGGAGAGGACACACCTGGGATCTTGGGACCAAGTAGGACGAGAAACATGGACGGATCTTGTGGATCTGGACCGAGGTGTGAGGTCAGCTGTTTGTATCCATCCGAACTAGTCAGGGCCACGAAAGTTTCCATCGTCTCGAGCGCTGTTGCCGAGATTAGTGATGATACAAAGACGGGCGACAGAAACCCACCATACGGGGGAAGGAACTCGACACATTCGTGTCCTTCTCTTTCGAGAGCCGCCACGCACTCCCGCAGCGCCCGCTTGACAGGTGGGGAGAACTCAGCGAAGTCGTCTGTCGCCCATTCATTTTGTTTCTCTCCCCCTCCGGACTAGGCAGCGTACCACGCAGATAATATCCTACTTTGAGCTTCTTCGGCAGAATGACCTCTCTCCACGGAACGGGTGCGATCTCACCGGGTCCGCCGGGAAGGCCGCAAAGTGTTTGACAGGCGAGTCTGAGGTCTGCGATCGATCTAGAATACGGTGAATTGGATTGCTGAGAGGAATGTGAGGAGAAGCACCTGGCCATGGGACCTACTGAAACATGGACAGCCTCAAATCCCTCGGTCGGCACTATATCTATATGCGAGTACATCAGCGTCCCACCTCTCACCTCACCCCGCGACACCTGGGACAGGAGCGTTACGCACTCGTCATCCCATTCTTGCTCATCCTTCCTCCCTGCCCAAACTTGAGGGAAAAGCAGCCCGACATATGCGCCGGAAATCTCAAACTACCGGCAAGATCACTTCCGAACCCGAGTGCAGAACCGCCGCACGCGAGCAAAGCGGCTTCGCCTCCGCTCGAGCCACCGGGGATGTGCAAGGGAGAATAGGGATTCGTCGTGCGACCGAAGACGGGATTGTTGCCTGAGAAGGAAAGAGGTATAATAAGCACTGATCCGCATGGACGGTGGGAAGAGAGTGCGGGAACTGGGAAGCAAAGGGGCGAAAAAGGGTCAACGGTCCGAACTGGACCACAGTCATGCGGCTTCAGTCTGCTGAGACCACCACGTTTCCAAGTTTACAACCCGACCAGACTCGACTCGATCGAAACCGTCCATGGTGAAGAAAAAAGGAG